GAGTACGAGATGATGCCTGGCACATTCGTAGTAAATGAGAATGTTGCACCGCTGAGAAGACAGACTGTCTACTTCGACGACACTCGAGTGCCAAGGTGCCAATCGGCTTGTCAACACAAGCTCCCGGACAGGGAGAAAGTTTTTTTTAATGGGCGTTACGCGGTAGTGACGTCACAGCGTCAATATTGTACTACTGTCGTGTCGGGGGTCGCTTGGGTCGGTGGCACTCGCGCGCGCGTCTCTCTCGCACGACTTAACTCTCTTGAGCGTTTGGTTGGCGATTAACTGACCGGCGAAATGTCTCCCATTATCGTGGGCGTTTCAAAGTGGGACGAAAGGAATGCATCTGTTTGTAAACACACGAGGAGAGAAGTATTTTGTTAGACTTTGAAATATTACGACAGCGAGGTTGATAATCACGTTCAAAGTCACATTCAAGCTCGGCTTCATCTTTGCTAGTCCAATTGCCGAGTCAATCATATTAGGATCGATTGGTATTCAATAGGCAATTGATAGACTAAGTACTCCATGATACTCGGAGCAATTACACTGTCTTCGCTCTATCGACTTTTCAGTCAATATGAAATAATCGACTAAATTTCTCAATAAGAAGGTAATTCCAATGACTGCCATTGAAACATTTAAATTTCATTTATAATTGAAATAACAGAGTACGATTATAGGAATAGACATAATGTTCATTATCATTCGATTATTATTTCTACTATCTATTGAATAATGCGTTGAAGGTGTTAGTTTTATACTCGACACTCTTACTAACTTATGCGATCAAAAATATTATGTGCGGTTTTAAAGAATGCAATTTTCTTACATTTAATTTTAAAACGTTAAAGAATGATTATAACAACGGAAATTTCTTACATTCGAATAAAAAATAAACAAAAATACAAAACACAAAAATAATTAGTGAAATTGAAGCAATAACTGAATAGCAATTGGCGTTATATTTAAAAATAAATATATGTATTTGAGTAATTTGATGGAAATGGGTAATATAAAGTATGGATTAAATAAACATTATGTCTTATATTTAAATATACAAAATACATGTTCATTTAAACTAGTTTATTTACTATTATTTTCAATTATGACGAACGATTACTCGCAAACTATTAACTCGCGTTTCCTTCCTATTAGACAAATCTTGTAAATTAGTCAATTAGACAAAACGAATGGAGCTGCAAATTTAAGGAAAATTTTACGCATAAATATTCATGCAGATGTTAGTGTAAAACCATGTAGACACTATTGATACATTGCAACAATATGTATGTACTTTTCCATATTGAAGAATATGTGTCAATAACATAATTGCAAAGTTCAAACAATTACAGTACAAAAGTGTTTTGATTATGAAATTAATGTCTGATAAAATATCTTTCTGATCGAATCTTAAATTGAATTATATTTACAACTACCGTAACAGCGTCTTTCTAATGTATATGATCAAAATGAATATTTTAGCTAAACTAGAAATACATCTCGTTTACATTATCGGCGAATAAACTCAAATATTTCGCGTACTTTTGTATTTTCGATTTGTATAAAAATCATCCATTCAATATTATTAATATATATATATATATATATATATATATAATTTTATACTTTAAGGGTACTTTATTGAATTATTTCACCTTAAGGATTATATGAACGTATAATATTTAATAATAATATGCAATAATATTGATTAATATTTAATCTTAACTTCATATTTTTGAAATTAAAAAAAACAAACAATACATTTATAAAAATAGTTTTATATGTTTTTTGAATTCGTTAATCATACAATAGAAAAAAAATTGTGCTTAATTTTATATTACATGGTATAAGCGGTTATGAAGTATACGGCATAATATGATAAAATTAAAAATATTATTAACAACATTTAAATGTATTCATAAGATCATTTCGTAATTGAGGTAAATTCCAATTTGATTCTTTAGGTTGAAATCGAAATTCTATTTTTGATTATTCTACTTAATTTAACTCTAAGCCATTAAAAAAACAAATCGTTTTATTCATCATAATCTCTCAATTAGCGAGTTAATTAGTTAATGGCTTTGCATTACCATATGTGTATTATCAGTAAATTACTTTTCGACTCCATACATCTGCGCATGTCATTTTCATACATCGTAAAACGACAAAATTAACATAATAGAAATAATATGTAAACATTTCGATATTAGTAAATAAGATTAAAAAAATAAAAATGATACGATTTTCAGCACTTTAAAAATTTATGATATTATATACATTTTTATACAATCGTTACATTTATAGGTTTTATTTTAAGTTACGCTATAATTAATTAATTAATAAATGTTTTTTTTTTTATTACTCTTTTGTATATAACTTTACTATAATTTTTCCACGTCTATGTTCAATTAAGACATAAAATCGTGTTATTTACTAAGTCAAGTGGGAATATTCTAATAATATTTATACATAAAATTGTAGACTCTTGTTATATGAAATCTTGAAGTAAAAAATTCTCGATCATAAATTTTGTTTTAAATTATATTTTTTTATGCGCGATTAATTTTGAAATTATTTGGAATAGAATTCATTAATAGTAGTAGCCGACATTGATTTCTAATATTTTATATATAAAACATAATATTTCAAGTGTCCTAAGTATGCGAACTATGATAAGTATTAAAAAATTTATTTTTAATTTATATAATAGGAATTTTGAAATAAGGAACAATTATCGTTAAAGGCTTTTTGTTAAAGAATGTCCTAAATATTATCGATATTTTATCCTTTAAAAGCATAGATTATGATTCTATAATTTCACTTGTATTTAAGTAATCGAAGCTATCGCATACTTGCGAAAAATTGATAAGAATAAAAAAATCATATATGACTTGCGAATAAATTCAATATGTAAGAACTTGAAGAAAAAGCAAAGAGGATTAAATATCAAGTCCAAATCTGTAACCGATTTGAAGTGCTTGATGACTTAGAGCAGAGTATAAATAGCTATGAACTAGTAGAAATGTAGATCAACATTTAAAAAATGAAACTGCAATAGCTATGGTTTCAAAAAGTATACAAACATTTTTACAAGCGATTTTTTTTATTAATATAAAAAAAGAATAAGTTTAAAGATAATCTAAATTTCAGATTATAATTTTAATAATGTAATGATTAAAATGACATTTTTTTTTACATATGATAAGGTTTGAAATGATATTAATAACAATGTTTGCAGACGCGAAGATACAAAAGAAAAAAAAAAAGAAAAAAAAAAAACAAAGATTAATACAATTTTAATATAAAAATAATACTAACAATGTTCACAAGAGGATTGCAATGTCGTGTCGAGTCTAATGCAATACAATACTGTTTAGTCCATAGATGAATGTTGCACTTACACTTCAATAATGTTCAATTGTTGGTATATTTTTATTATTACAAAATTAAACAAAACTATATGACTCGAGCAATGTTCAAAAATTATGTAAAAATGTTCATTTCAACAAAATTTTTCTGGTTCTAAAACATTCTAATAATTTTTAATAATAATAGATATTTTCAATTAGCTGTATATATATATATATATATATATATATATGAGTGATTTTGTTGTTGTTGTCAATTTAAAAACAATATTCGAATTGAAGAATTAAAGCCGAATAGCAAAGAATGTCAGTTATAATTCTCCATATTATAATGATAGGTGAAGTAAATTAAAATAATTATTCTCTTTCTCAATTCCTCTATACGTGTTTGTGTATAGATTTTATTATAAAATTTTATTATATATTTATTATAAAACACATTTTAAGTATTTATTAATTCTTTGTTATCAAAATTCATGAAATTATCAATTCAGTATTTGGATAAATAAATAAAATTGATATAGTTAAGAGTTTATAATTAGATATTTGCTATGAATATGCGTAAAAAATGCATAGGCATCTATCTATTAAAAGAATGAAAATATTTCAAGTTCTAGTTCAACTAAGAGTGCCAGAAAATCTTGTTAACTTAATGCAAATGTCTTAATGGTAGTCACATAAGAGACGAGATAAAATCATTTATCGAAGTCACTTAAGATATATGATAAACTAAGGCAAGGTGACGTACTATTATCTGCGTAATTCCGTTTCAGCTTACACAAAAGAATGAAAAATGGTTGCCCGGGATGATCTAACTGTAGCATTACCGTGCACTAGAGCCAAGATGTACTGTATAATAATTAAATTGTATTCTATTGAAAAAGCAGAAATGCATTTTAAGATACTAAAAAACATGTAGGCAGTTTAACAATAATCAAAGGAAAAGAAATTGAATAAGTATTCGTGTGATAGAATTACACTAAGAAGGCTTAAATTATAATTGACATCCAAGTATTTAAAAATTTCAATCAAAAGCGTGTTCGTGGACGTAGATACAGTAGAGTTTAAACATTATTCTATTTGAAATATGTGTTTTTTTATTATATAAAATCTAATCTAATATCTATATTCTTTTATTTAAATGTATATATATATATATATATATATATATATATATATTATTTTCCGTAGAATATATCTTAAAAATATAAATAAAAATAAAATTTTAAAGTAAAAAAATTCGAGCTTTAAACACTTTTGGCTGATAATATGACGAAATTTGCAGTGAGCGTCGTTAATGATAAACTTATCAAGTATAAAAATTTTATTTTACATTGTTAAAGTGAAAAATAAAAGAATCATCATTGAGAATTATGGTAGAAAAAATTAGATGACAGCCACCAAGATATGAAAGTTTGCATTAAAATAAATATCATAGAATCAAGGCACAACTAGTCATCTCAAGTCCATAAAGATCAAGCGATTATACAAGGAGACTAGAATTTCAATGACTTAAACGAATAGCGCGATTCCGCCATCTTAAAGGTTTAACTTGTCAAGCCTCGCTCGTAAAATGCAATTCTGTTAAGAGTCCATCAAGACGCAACGGATTAAGACTGAAATTTCCAGGTCGGGAGTGTCCAACGCAAAGCTATGGGGCTCGATGATGGGCCTTGCAGCCGTCCTACTCGTCTGCCATGCCCGGACGGACTTCACGGGCCTTACGGGTCCATACTGCGCGACGCGCTACCGCGAGCGGGTCTGTTGCGCCGGTCGCCAGGACGACTGCAGCGTACCGATCATTGGAACCCTCTGCTACTGCGACGACTTCTGCAGGAACCGTACGAGAGACGAGGACTGCTGTCCGGACTACGCGTCCTTCTGCCAAGGCATCGAGGAGCCCGCGCCCAACGAGAATCGAGGTGATTCCTTTGCTTTTCTCGGATTCCGATTAACAGCCGATAGACGGCCATTTTTCATGTAAACTCGGTGGGTCTCGCGACTGGGTGGGGTGGGACGGGCGACGATCGAACACGAGGGAGAAAAATGAAAAATTAACGGCACTGCCCGTCGTGGGTAATGCCAGAAGATCGGCCGTGCATCGGTGATGCTTAATCGGATCTTGGGGCTAATGAGTTTGCGCGTACGAAGCTCGAGCTATGAAATAATAATCCTATTAGCGCGCGATTTAAAATAAAATTGATAGATATAAATTGCAAGCGAGTTAAAGGCTAGTTAGGAGCTATATTTATACGATCTTAAATAATAGTATAGATTGAATAAGCCGTTACTTGGAAAACAAGAAATTTAAGAAATGTGACCCTGAAGTCTATAGCTAATTATATAACATTTCATCAATTTTCGTTGTTACAATCAGACCGTTAAGTTTTATACTGGATTTGCGCCAATAATTGTATTATTATTATTATTATTATTATTATTGTTGTTGTTGTTGTTGTTTTTATTATTATTATTATTATTATCGACGTGATATATTTCTTATTTGTGAGGTGGAGGATATAAATATTGCTTGAAAATTCAATGAGTTCACATAAGCGAACAATTATAAAACGATGAGAAAAATCATTGTTAAGCTAATTTAACTTAACGATTATCGATTTTAAATAAATTGATTTTTATTTATGAACAAAAGTCCGCTACTGTCTATTGAGCTTGTTTTTTTTTTGTTTCTTCATTGATTTTCTTGAAAATAACGATTGTACTTTTTCTTTTTTCTACATTCAATTTAACTTCACGTAGTCATTTTTTTTTTTTTGTTTTTATATGTATTTTGGAAACTACAATATTTTACGTTTTGCACTTTACGTTTACGTATGTTACGAAAAAAAAAATTTACAAGACTCGCATTTTAGCTTTCGCTTCATTAACTCGAGCGATATTTATGTGTAAATTAAAAACAAACAAATTTTTCTCATCTTATTTATCACTTTCGTGTCAATGTTTAAAACAATTGTTAAAACAAATGTAAAAACAAATAGTTTTTTAATAATTTTTCCCAAAATGAAATGAATGCTTCGTATGAATAATTTTAATCACTAGTTCTTTTTACAATTAATATTTTATTATATTTTATATTTAAATTTATATTATGTTTATATAATCAGTGGTAAATAAATATTTTCTTAATGGATAAATGAAACGTCTTAAGAAAATTAATCCGCTCAAGTATCGTTAAATTTAATTTAAATAAAATTTTAAAAAAAAAACCGTCAATGTTATATGTATGAAATGCCAAGTTCTATTTCATAGATAAAAATTCTTAAAATTATTTTCAGATTGTGTACACAATGGCAAAGTATATTATTATGGGAATAAATTTAAAAACAACTGTAATAATTGGTAAGAAAAACGTTTTGTAATTAAAATAATTGAATTCATCGTAGATAATATATATGTTTTATGCAACAGCAAGTGCTCACTACTGGATGACAAACCCGCAGTTCTTTGCGAAGAAAATCGCTGTTTAATGGAACAAGAAGTTATCGATAGCATAAATCTCCAAAATTCCGGATGGATGGCGAGAAATTATTCTGAATTCTGGGGTCGCACACTTAACGAAGGATTAAAGCTTAGGCTCGGAACATTAAATCCCTCACAATCGGTAAGAGCCTCGAGTTATCTCGAATTTACAATTTGCAAATTTAATTACGACACCAATATCCTGCTTAATTGTATTTCTATATATTTATAATTCGTTTGAAAAGTGAATTATTTCAAGATATCAATTTAATAAATGGTCAGCTGCGCATGCACACGACAATGTGAATATAATTCCGATTATCCTATATTACGAATTAAATGACTAATGCAATGACAATCAATTGAAAGGATAAGAGATAATATTCTAGTTAAATAATCGAGCTAAATAATCTCCATAAGAAATAAATATCTGTGCGATAGTTAATCGAAATAAATAGCTATCATGTTGCAATTTCTTACTTACCAAGTTGAAATAACATCAGGTTTATAGGATGAACTCCGTGAGAAGAATTTACAATCCCGACGAGTTGCCCGTAGCATTCGACTGCAGGATAAGGTGGTCGAGCGATATAACCCCGGTGCACGATCAAGGATGGTGCGCGGCTTCCTGGGCTATTTCCACCGTCGACGTTGCGTCCGACAGATTTGCAATAATGAGCAAGGGAGTCGAGAAAGTTCAATTGAGCGCGCAACACTTGATATCGTGCAATAATAGGGGTCAGTTGGCTTGTAACGGCGGTTATCTCGACAGAGCTTGGCTTTTCATGAGAAAATTCGGGTAATGTAACTTTCAGCGCTCCTCGTCATTTCCTTTTCTTATTTATCAACGTCATTTTAATGCCATTTATCACTAATATCACACCTACACATAGTAGTATATTAATTTGATCAATGTCAATAGAAAATGTTATAATAGCAATAGAGTAGTGTAGTAATAAATATTAATGTTTTATAGAGTGATATTGAAATAATACATATCAATTGCTTTCAATTTGAATTGCAAGACATTAATTAGAATAGAAACATTTTCTACTAATTTTTTTCTTTTTTCTTTTTTCTTTTTTCTTTTTTTTTTTTTTTTTTTTTTCAATCGTAATTGACTCGCTGTCATTTTACATTCAATTATTTAATGTTTAAATTTTGATATTAATGATTTATGAAATACCTTGTAGATTCAAAAAAAGAAAAGAACGAAAAAAAAAACGAATAAAATATTGTCAATAGATTGATAAATATTACTTTTTTAAATCATGTGATTTCTATAAAACGTCTTTATATAGACGTTTAGGTATAGTCTGAAAAGTCTTTTTTACGTACTCATATTTATATATCATACAAATTCAATCGATTTTTTGATATTTTTGACTACTTTTTAATTTAATAATATACGAAAATTATAATACAATTTCAACATGTAAATACATTAGTGATTCAATCTAATAAAATAATATAATGTCTGTGTTTTGTCGTGATGTGCGTGTATTGATGAATAGAAAGTTATTATAAATTACACTATTATTCGGTAAAAATGGATTTCTTTTTATGCTATTTATTAACGTTTGTTCGGGTGATGTAATATCGATCTGCCGATATAAAATTATTTCGATTACAAAATATAAAACAATGTAACTTTTGAATGCACGAGCGCACTGTTTGAACAATAGACAAAATTGATTTTAATTCAATCGATAACGTATTAATTGTACTCGATAAATCTTAAAAAGAAAAAAAAAATAACTTATTCATAGGAATATGTTTAAAACAAACATAAGTTCGAATTTATGCTTGTAATATTCACATTTGATTAATATTTTATTGTTCTTTCAAATTGTTTTGTTTTTTACATGCATTATTTTGATTTATCGTGTTAACATAATATCACTATAATTTTTTTTTTTTTTTTTTTTTTTTTTTTGTTGTAATATTAGATTGACCGATGATGAATGCTATCCTTGGTTGGGTAAAAATGACAAATGTAGGATTTTGCGGAAAGGAAAGTTAACGGATTTCGGCTGCAAAAAGCGTAATTCGTATAGTTTAAGAAATGAACCTTATAAAGTAGGACCGGCTTATCGCCTCGGTAACGAGACTGATATTATGCAAGAAATCATAACGTCGGGACCAGTTCAAGGTAATATAACAAAACTTGTAATACAATCAAGATTTTTACTTTATCGATTTAATTAAATGTACGGGATTATTTAAAATACGATTGTTCTAGCAACGATGCGAGTTTATCAGGACTTTTTCAATTACGAATCGGGAATTTACGTTCATTCTCCCCTCTTTGAATGTTATCAAAGTGGATATCATTCTGTAAGAATTATTGGTTGGGGTGAACAACCTTCGCCAATTAATGGTAAACCTATCAAGTTTTGGGTGAGTAAATTACGCGTTCGATGATAATGTGTGCTTATTAATAATTAGGTCTCATAATCAAATTTTCATATTTTCAGCGTATTGCAAATTCTTGGGGAAGAGAATGGGGCGAGGACGGCTTCTTTAGGATTCTTCGAGGTACAAACGAATGTGAAATCGAATCTTTCGTTCTTGGTATCTGGGCAAAGACAGTTTGAAAATGACAGCTTTTGTATAGAAAGAATCAAGCTGCATTTATTTCAATGACACTCGTTACAATTCCCGTTATAGATTTTTGTTCTGCAATGAAAGCGGCATCTTTCTTTAAAGATAGCTTATACGACATACAATTATTTATATAATATCATTAGGATTATTTTTTAAATTATTTGTGACTATTACAAAATCTTTGTAAATGACTCATTGTTATTATATCGTTTTTTTTTTGTTTTTTTGTTTTTTGTTTTTTTTTTTTGTTTTTCCTTTAAAGCTGCATGCGCATTACCTAATATTTCAACTTTCATTTTCATATCGGATATAATTGTAGAAAAACATTCTTACTATTTTATTGTAAAAATTAAAATATCTAAGAAAGTACCGTAAAGTGAAAGTATTAGATTGAAAATTTGTATTTATTACATAGTCAACGTTTAAATATTATTCGTATTATTAAACAAACTATGGAAATAATTGACACAAAATATAAAAAATTCAGCTTGTTGATTGACTGAAAGTGAAATTTATTGTTAATTCGTCTCAATAGTTGAATAAGACCTCTAATTCGTACTTCTATATTATTTATCGTTATGTATTTATTAATACCATGTAAAAACATTACTACTTGTCTGTCTTTAGATAAGATTATATTTTTATTTATTTAAAAAATTAGTTATTATATACTTAGTTTTACAAATTTTTTGTATATCTATTCGATGAAAAAATGTATTATATCAGCTTTTTTGTGATTTAAAAATTTTGTACAGACTATAAGGAAACATCGACAATAACGCGAACAATTTTACAAATAATACATATTGACACGTATACATACATATATATATATCTATATATATATATATGCGTGTGTAATTATTATTAATTATAGATATATATATATTTTACTTATAGCTTTAATGCAAAAAATTGTAAATTTCATTATTGGTATATAGTCAATCGTGTTGAAGAATCGTTGCATTCTGTATGTACTATAATTCATTGATAAATAAACGTTTTTAAAATAATTTAAATCTTTATTTTCATGATTTAGTAATCAATCTTTGTACGTATCTCATAGAGACTAATATGAATTTATTGAAATTCAAATTAATGTGACTTCACCATCACTATCTTGTATACAATTATTATTTTATCTAATATTTATTTAATGTGTCTTAGATTAGTCGATTGTTTAAAAACTTTCATTTCTGCAAATATCAATATTTTCAGTTTATAGACAGTAATTTGAACAGTAATACTAATGAATATCAGAAAAATGTAGTTCATTTATCTTTATTGCTTGATGATAACCGGAAAATCCAACAATATATCGTCAATCTGTGTTTGGTAAAATATTCTTTTATTTTCATCATTAACACAGTAAGGAAAAAATCCATGAGCGTCACTATAATTTACTTAAAAATTTAGAATAATAAAAATTTTATCCCTTTTTTTCTTAATTAAAACTTATACAAATTTATAAAATTTTAATATTTATATTTTTGTAGATATAATCGCGCGCACCCACCCACATACGCACACACACACACGCGCGCGCGCGCGCGCACATAGAGAGAAAGAGAGAGAGAGAGAGAGGAGGGGGGGGGGAGAGAACTCTCTTCGGAGTAATTCAAAATTTATCTCTCCCGTTCTGCTTCATTTAAAAGACGTAATATGCCTTTATCGCATTACCATTTTTCTCAAGTACATGACATCAATACATGCAGACAATTTAAAATATAATTAATTTTATAATTTAGTCGACATGCCACGCAATTAGTTACTGTTGCGTAGAAATGTAGTTGGCAATGATACCCGGTTCTCTGAAATATGCATAAAGGTATCTCTTCGAATTCTATGATCTAGCTAGTATTATGCGGAAACGAGAACCGGGTAAATTTATTAAATAAACAATTCATCTCTTACCAAACATACCATCATCGATCAGGGACGTGGGACGTGGCATTCGTAAACACATTATACAGAATTCTTAAATTCGAGTGTATTAATTTTAAATATTAATTTCACGATGTATATTTTTTACATTCAAGGACGATGGTTCTCGTTGAGAATAATTACAAATTTTAGTTTATTTTTTGTAACCTTCGTGTTAAACAACTACACAGATTATAAAGAAGACTTTAAAGGATGTGTGTGCATATATATATATATATTTATATATTGTATTTTATCATTATGAAATTATAAAATATGATTTAATTGATTAATCATATCTGATATTAATATTTCTTATTGTAAAATCCTGTATTGTAAAAGAAACCGGTAATCCAGGATCAAATATTGCAAAAAAGGTCTCAAATATCGAAAAGAAAGTAATTTTTGCTGTATTTATAATATAACCTTTATTACTTAGTTATTAAAAGTTAATATATGTTATAAGTGGTAAAGTAACTCTTATGGATTATTAAAACATTCGTTGATTTAATAACCGACAAATAAATAATAGACTTTGATTAATTTTCTACAAAACAAAATAAAATTTTATTATATTCATAATAATAACATAATTATTTATTCAATTTTGAAAAAATCACTTATAGATCTTTAAAATGAAGAAATAAAGTGAAATGTTAATTAATTACGATTTACTATTCGATATATATTATAAAGTTAGTTTAATTAATTAATATTAATTAATTTTGCAAGAATACAATAATTATTAAAATTGTATCGCTTTTTTTTTAATAAATCTATATTCAATTTGTTATGTTTTAATTAATACTGTTAAATACTATTATATATTTATAATAATTTATTAACTATAATTATATAAGCTTAATTATACTATAAAATCATAATTGAAATTTAGAAACATGTGAATTAGATATAGTTCTACGGAAATTTTACGATTAACTTTCCTGATAATTTTTCTACATTAATTTTTATAATAAACATATATCCTTTAAGGATAAAAAATTTTTTAACTGTTTTCAAAATAGATATTTTCTATTTTTTATCGCTGTTAAAAAGATCATTGTTTTCCAAAAATCTATTATTACGTAATGATTTCAATATACTAAAATTCTATAAAATATTCTAAAATCAATTAAGCTATTGTTGATAACTTTTACAGCCTATAATTTATTTATAAATTATTAATATAACATAAATTTAAAGCTTTTACCAGAATTTTGTTGGTTAAATTATTTTTAATATATATGATATTTTCTATGATATATATAATTTATATATAAATTGCAAATAAAATAATATTAAAATAATGTATTATTTAACATTTTTATATTTTTCAATATGATATTTATACGTAAGTTTTCAAAATCGATATATTTTGTACCAATTCAATTTTTTTAATTAGTAATGTTATATAAATATAGTTTATTATTATATATTTGTATAGATTATTACTACTCTTTATACTATTAGTTTCAAAAACTAAGGCAAAACAAAAAAAAAAATAGATTGCGGATAATAAAATTATGGAAGAATTGAAATAGTAATTTTTTTTACAAAGCAGTATTTTTTATGTGAATTGTAAACAGATAATCAAGCGATGGACATCATTATTAATTTTATATACTCTAATGGCGTTTATCATTGATACACTAAGAAGAAAAATAATTTGGTATTATTTAATGATTCTATATTAATGCCAAAATAACCTATTCGTGTAATCTATAGTTCAATGATTTCATTAAATAAATCTTTTATTGTATTTTTATTTATATCATTTAACTAATATGGATATGAATGTGTTTAATATATTCTTTGTGTACTTTATTTAATCTGCTTGATTAATTAATATTATTATTACTTTTTCAAAAGGTAAGTATAATATTCTATGAATGTTAAACTATATTATCACTATGTTAACGACTTATTAACAAAATATATTTTTATACATTTAACTATTATAATTATTAATTTTCTAAATTGTAACTAATACTATTCTTATTTTTTCAAATACAGGAATAAAAATTAATTTTTATAATATAATTTTTGATATTAGATGTGTATAAACATTATAGTACATCGGATATATTATTTCCTGTAATTGTTTTACTTTTATCGCACCTTAATTCATTTTGTGAAGGTATTACATCTTTAAGTAAATCCAAAAATTTATTAAATGGACAAAGTATTTCACATCCTGGAATTTGTTGCGTCAAAAGTGTTGCAGGTACACCTCGATAATATAACACCTGTGCACAAAAAATAATGATAAAGTAGATAAAAGAAATGAGAATAAAGTAAAGTTTAAACAAAACAAAGCAAATAGATACGTTTATTTCACTACTAAATCAATCGGTTAAATAGATCTTAATAAATTAATATTAAAAATTAACATTATTATAGCTCTATTGGAAATATGATTATTCATTTTAGTAGCTAATATTTTTGACAAAGTTTGACAATTATAGAATTGATTCGATATTTTTAAAATAAAAATATATCTTACAAAAAAAATAAACAAATAAATAAATAAATAAATTAACAAAAATTAACAAAAATTAACCGTCTTTGAAAATTGCATTATAATTTGATAATAATACTTACTTTCACGAAGTACTCAGAGTTTTGTTCATAAAATTCAATTATAATAGCACTAGAATAAGCAGGTACATGTGGTGTATAAACTCCTAATGTTTGTAGTAGAGCAACGATATTGGTTTCGTGCCCACTGTACAGAGATATTTTACGTCTTTTATCTGCAATTCCACTTTTAACATTTCTTAATTCTTTGACTATTTTATATAAGAGTTTACCTGAAAGATTTTGTTTAATCAAATAATATCATATATTTACTTTGGCACAATATATTATTATGATTATTAGTATTATTATTATTATTATTCAAATAAAATAAACTTATCGGAAAATAAGTGCCGTATTAACGTTTTCAAATTATTTAATATTTCAATCAATATTCAATGATTGTTCAATATAAACGTTCATCACTTCTTGGAAATAATATATAATTCCTAGTGTCTCGAATATAGAATTTTTACTTAGACACATATTAAATTTTACGATTACTAGATCAAATTTATCAACACCTTTGTATTTTTCAATAATTATTTTATTAATTTATAATCATATGAATAATTTATGAGTATCTAGAATTGCATGAATTATAAGAAAAATTTTAAATTTAGATATGGATTCGAGATTACTGTAGTAATTAACTTGGATAATTTGGATCTATTTAACTAAGAGTAAAGGAAAAAAAATCTCTTATATATAATTAAATGCAAGAAATTAAACAAATTAAGGAAATTAAATTTTCCTATTAATAATTATTATGTGCAGTTATTTTAATTGATAAAGTAAGATTCATAGCTTATTTAATCCTACATTGTTATCGATTAACTAGAAAAGAAATTTGTATTCTTTCAAGATATATTGCAAACAACAGAAATTAATCGCGATGAATAGATTACGAAAAAATATAGCTAATTCAAATTATCTTGCCCCTACCATATTAGTTTTTCTAATATGAATATATTTACTCCAATATTTGTTTACTTTTTTCACATTATACACATATAAACGTGCATTATAAGCTCATTAAATATTGAAAACTATATGCTTTTATCAATAAATTATTTAATCGTATTTTATATAATAATAAATTGAACCTTCATATAAAATGTGCTAAGAATATTTAAAAATTTATATACATTTATTATCTATTTCCTATACGATTACATAACTTTATTTATAAATTTAATGATTTACTTCAAATATACATTTTATTACAAATTTATCAAAATAGGCTTATTAAAATATATGTTAATAGACAAAACTATTCTTAATGAAAAAACAGCCTGTAATAGAAGCGATATTAACTAAATAACAGGCTGAAAAATTAGATTCTATTATCATAATCATAAGTAGTCACAAGTATATAAATAGAATAAGTATTTAAAAAAAAAAAAATGGTTTTAAATTTAATTTATTTTAATTTATTTTTCGACATTAATTTACGATTCTTCGAAAACATAGAACTCAATTCGGCTCATCTATTTAATATTTTAATTTACAAAATGAATTATTTACTTTTTAACAATTTTTTTTCTAATATATTATATTTATTTTTTATTAAAATAATAATTTAATAATTTTTAAAAAAATTTTTACGTAAAAAAATTAAATAATTTAATCATTATTGTGGTTATTTGTTGCTATTTAGATCTATTTATTACTCAATGACGTTTTAAACATTATTTTAATAGTATTGTTTCATTTTTGTTAATAGACTTACAGCTATATATGTTACAAAATACATTATATACTTTTTTATAGTTCAATATTTTATTATCGGTTAATATGAATGTACTACATACTTCACTATTTACAAAACAAATTATTATTTTTTATGCTCAGCTTTATGTAATACGACATTTTAATATTGAAGTATTCACAATTAACACCAAAGGATTATTATTTATTTGATTATTTAAATTTAGAAATTCTATAGTATCTCTTATGATTTGTATTGGTCTGATCATAAATATTAATAATATCCTTTAAAACATATTGTTATTCGTATAATATAACAATCCGTGAAGATGGTCTGGCATTAATTAACTTTCATTTTAATGATCAGGGACTCCATTTGCTTTTTTCTCTTTTTATACTGATTGATGAATGTCGATTTTATAAATCTTATACTTTCAAAATTGTTCTATTCCTCAATTGACATTAAATAAATAAGAACAGAATGTTGTACATTTACAAAGGAAAAGTATCATTATTATTGATTGTATTTCTTTAAAAATTGTTCATCTATTTATTTATAATTGTTAAACCGAAATAATGCTTGCGTAATAAAATAGTTTCGATAAATATAATTAAAAAGTTTAGTGGTATTAAAATTTATGTTTCTAATATTAAAAATAAATGCGAATATGAAAATATACATATAATCAAAAACAGATGTTTAAACTATTTATAATAATAAATGTAATATATAAAAATTAATATTGGGTATAAATTTAAAAATTTATACAGAAATGTACTCAATACATTGTATTTGACGTATCGAAATAAAATAGAGAATATGAAGTAAAGTAGATTATATAGGTACAGAAATACTTTATATGCTTTTAGATAATTCCTGTAAAGAAATAAGGTTAAAATTTTTATCCCTTACTTATTTTTTTTTTTTTTTTGCTTTTGAAAAAAAAACAGCGTAAAACATGACTTCGTTTTCTAAAGTTGATTTTCACAAACACATTCCTGTATTTTTATTTTGATTAAAGAGAAATTGTTGTAGCAAATTTAAACAAAATTCAATAAGTCAGTGGAGATTTTAATTTAATTTATTTAAATGTTCCATAAAAATTGATCTAGGGTCAATTAAATATTGCTGATATCGTAAAATTTTATGACTAATAAAAGTATAATAATAATACTGGTGTCGCAAGATCGTATTTTTCTACTCAAGTTTAAATCTCAATTGATCATTCCTATTTGATTTCAATTATATTAATTTTACCTCCATTAATTCTTCGCATATCTGTTGTGTAACTGAAAATTTCATACTCGAGCTTAATAGCGTCGAAAAGTTGGCCATATGGAAATACAGTGTTGGTCCAATTTGGAAGTGTCAAATTTAAAAAGGATTGAGCAACGAAAAGGTGATACAGCATATAGATATCGTATGTAGTGGAAATTGGTTTTCCAGTCCACTCAGTGAGATTTTGCATAAGTCCTTTAAATTGCTTTATCTTGCCTACAACTTCTGGCGTCTTTTCAATTTTTTTACGAAGTTGTATATACCTTGGCAAATACAGAAATTCGTTTATTTTTAATTTTATTCAAATATAATTGTCTGGTTTTTAATTACGCGAAACTGTAAGAGACCAGCATCTGTCTATAATTATTATTGATCTAATATCAATAGTATCACTAAATTTTACATTCAAAATTTCTTACTCAAGACATTCTTCAGGAACCATAAGCCAATCTTGTTCGGAAGTCAGAAACATCGATGGAATAGGTTGCCAATTAAGTTTATTATGCCATTTTTGTACACCAGAAGGAGGATAAAGAGAGGCGAGAACGAGTTGCAAAGACATTTTTGTTCTCGTATAGTCAGTGCTTAGCGCATAGACTGATTGTTGTAAATACAATTCACCTAGAAAATCGTTATATTTATCACGAAGCAATTGGCCGAGCTCGTATTCACGAAGTTTTCCTCTCTAAAAATATTTTAAATTAAAATAAATACTAATAAAAATGTTTCTTTTTTTAGTATATTATAAAATAGACATAAAATGATAAATTTGAATATACGAACGCAAATAGTCTGTCGCTTTTTTTTCTGTATATTTTAAATATTATTATATTAATTTCAAAGTCATTTCATTATTAAAAAATTAAGATTATTTTTATGTAAATAATTTTTTTTTTCTATATATTATGTAAAAAAAATTTCATAAATTTACAAAGTAATAAATTTTTAAAATTGTTATTCTTGTTGAATTAAAAAAAAATACATTTATATAATACCTAATATTTCTTATGCATTATTATTTTAACGATTCATTCAAAATATTTTTCTGTACTAATTAGTTTAATTCATGATTATTTGTTACTACGGGATTGTGTTATAAAAAGACCTTAAATTACAATTATAATTCCATATTTCATATTCCATTATAATTTTAAATAAATAATTTAATAAAAATTAAATTATAACTTACATTTGTTAATTCGCCATAACCTAGGGGATAAAACTTAGATTTGATATTAAGATCTGTCGGATAGGTTTCAGAATAATCAGGAGTGCGATCACCATGACGAAATACCTACATACGAGATACATAAAAATATTATTAATAATTATAGAAATTAAACAATGCTTAGATTGTTAATTGAAAATCATTTTAATAAATATTACTTGCCACATTCACATATTTTAATTTCAATTCATCTTTTCCCAGTAATCCCAAAATTTTAATACTAAATAAAAGTATTTTGATCCAAAAATAAATTATTTTTCCCGCCATTTCTCTTAAATAAATATCTGAAACAAAAAATAAATCTAACAAAATATAAAATGCTGTATTTTTTATTATAAAGCTTTATAAAAAAAAAGTAATATGTTAGTATAAATAATATTTATATTTAATATTTTCTAATTAAGAGTCATTGATTTTACAGTTCATTTCAGACTGCTTATTGAATAAAAAATCTACCTAAAAGATAAATGGTATATACTAATTTGTAAAAATTTATTTTATTTTCACTTTAATTCCTATTCTCACTTTAATAATTATTGTATACTGTTATGAATAATGTTTATACATTAGATAAAATAATTATTTATCTACTACAATAGTTCATTTAAATATCTACTTTGCAGTAAAAAATAATTTATTTAAAACTATACTTAGTTTACTAGTAGTACTAGATTAGATAAATCTGACACATTAACATATATTTATTAGACAAAAAACCAATTATATATAATTATATAAATAAAAAACTAAATAAAAATATTAAATAATTTATTCTAACAGCTTTATATTTATATATCAAGTTGATGATAAATTCACATAAATAAATGCTTTGATAAACAACTCATTTTACTTGATGAATTTGAATAGAAAAATAATTAATTAAGTGTAGAATATCGAGTTTTAATTTGAATTTTATAATTTTTATAAATATTAATAAAATATGGAACGAAAATTTAATACATATGTAAAATTTGCAAAAAAAAAAAAAAAAGTAATTATCATGCTTTTCTATTTTTCCTACTACATTCAAGGAAATAGTGATTAGGAAAATAAGGATTGAATGAGAATGTTTAAGTTCAAAGAGGACGAAGAAAGCATGACTTATACGACATAACGAAATTATAAATTTGGCGATTATTATTTTTTTTGTCGGTATTGCACTTATGTATTTGTAGGTATATGAAATAAACGTATATTAACAATATATAAATTTTAAGTCCAAAAGAAAAAAAAAGCAAATGAGTGGTTAATGAATAAATATTGCAAAAAAAAATTATGTAGTAATTATTAATTATTTTTACTTTAACATTTTGCTTAAATTTCTAAAATTAGATATAAAATATTAGTAATCACTAGTTTCGATTTTTTAATGATTATAGATGTAATTATATATAAATGTTAGAAATTAAAATAACATAATTTTTGATAACTCCATCTATCGCAAAATTCATTAAAATAATGTTTGAAATATGTGAAATTATTAAAAATGTTTGTTAATTTATGACGTTTATAATGGCGATGAAGTGCTTTCTAAAAATTAATCAAGTATTGGATATATAATTTAAAATATTTTCTACCTTTTATTAAAATGGTGCTAGTCTGAAACTATTATATTACAATAATTCTACTGTAATTGAAACTATAATATTTTAAAGAATAATGATAATTTGTTTTCTTATATTGTAAATGAAAAAAATTTTATTACAACTATATTATAAAACTAATTTTAATCAAACGTATTTAAATTTTATCATACTTTAAAATTTAGTTTTTATATAAACAAGATAAAATGACTAGATGATGTTCATATCAGTAATAAATAAATGACAATGATAACTATAATGAAATAAAATTTCGTATTTTCAGTTAAAACAATAAAATATTTATTAAATAAAAATCAAGCTGATTTAACTATATATTAAGATTTTAATTTTTATGTAAATTTTAATTTATTGCTCTTAATGTATAATATAGTCTAAAGTTTATGTTACAAATTTAAAGAATGTTAATTCGACAAAGATAGAAATCTATATTCGAAAGCATTAAAATAAATTTAAAAAAGAAGAAATTTAATTCCTTTATTCGTATAAAACTCTTAAAAGTATAAAGTATGTAATCTTCGTGTAAAGCCAAATTTATATATTTTTTTTTCTTTACTAATAATTAATAATCAACATGTTTACGCATTTAAAAATATTATGTTTTAGAAATTCCAGATTTTTATTATTATTTTTGAATTTGCCGAAATATAAAATCTAACGTTAATCTACTTACATGTATTGAAACTTGATAATATAGATTATTATAATTTTTCTAAATTATAAATTTATAATGAATCACGATTAAAGATGATAATGCCTGGTGAACAAAAATTATATTGTACCAAGATACGTATGCTTTAATTAAACTTACCTTACAAAAAAAAAAAAAAAAAAAAAAAAAAAAAAAAAAAACAAAGAACGAAAAAGAAGACGTACTAGTTATGTTATAATTAATTTTAACAATTATTTTATAAATTATGTTAACTTTGGCTAAAGAATAGTTAAAAATTAATTTATTTAGAGAATGTCTCAAAGATTATGTCTAGCATACGCAAGCTAAAGCCGTCAACTGTAAGTTTGAAGAACGTACAATAAATGTTAATGTGTTTTTGTAAATGTATTTAGGTAGCTCCTACATAATCTTAAGCATTATCGCGTCAATTCAATTGTTCCTACAAATGGTCGTTGTCATTTTTCTTCCTTGTTTCTTAATTCAATTCATCATAGAAGACTTGAGCACAGCATTTTTATCTTGAACAATTCGATTAAGATGACATAAATATTCTTTTGATAAGAAGCCAAAAGAAAGGTATCGGTAAAAAAAAAGAATAAATTACTTTTTGTTGATATTTATTATTAAATAATTACTTTGTTAGCCATTATATGAGTTTTATCGAAAAACAATTCGAGTCTATGAATATTTAAACTTATTTTTAATTAATTTAATATTTTTAATAGCCTTAAATTTTGTATTTTATCATTGTATTGAAAAAATATATATATATATATATATATATATATATATATGATATTGAAAACAAATTTAGTATAATAATACCAAATACAAATAGTTTAACTGCTTATTTCTAAGTAATTAACAAGGAGTTATAAAATTATAAGATTATAAATTTTAGGTTCGATATAAATTATATGTGCTCGTGAACACTCGTGATAAAAAAATCATAATATAAATTTATGATGTAACTAAAATCATATATTTATATGTATTTTATATTAAAAAATAATTCTATCATTCAGTTTCATTACTATTAGATATTCATTTATGCACAGTCTATAGTTCTGTACCTGTAAAAATAATTATTTATTATACTGGGTTATATTATCGATGTTGTTTTTTCTATAATAAATAATTCTATATAATTATATACCATTAAATTCATTTATGATGTTGAAATAATGTCTTTATTTGATAAAATTATCTATAGTTTTACAAAATATGTCTTTTCGATTTTAAGAACCTAACACAAGATTAAAACAATGTTATAATTGCCGAAATTTTACTTGAATTTTTTGTATTATAACTAATAAAAAAATTAATTACTTTTATTTACATCAGGCATTAATAAATCATAAATTATTCCTATTAATCAACTTTTTAAAATAATCTCTAGTCTATGCATATATTATATATTAATTATTAATAATATAATTAAAAATATAATCTTAATACAATAAATAGTTATTTAGCTTAAAACAGTACAATGTAATTTTAATGATTAAGTTATATTATGATGATATAATTAATGTTGATTAGGTTAATAATATTAATGTTTTATGCGTATATATAATGCTTAGATACTTTTGATATAATTAGATAATGTATAATGAAATATGTTATAAATGAAATAGTGATAATTCTATATCGTTACGTATGATATAATATAAAAGGAAAAAATGAAATCATTTTCTTCAATAACGAGTAGAAAAATTGGATACTATTTCTTATTTTATTAAAATATGAATTAATAGAAAAAGATAACAGAAATAATAAGAAACAGTAGGATAAATAGTTCAATTTTCATAGAATTAATGAGTCATATTTATAAAATAATTTAATTCTTATACTATGATAACCAAGAATAAGTAAAAATGCGCGCAATTAGATAAATAAAAATGCTTCATGATTGTTACTATTGAAAGATTATACAATCCTTGTGATAATTAAACAGAATATAAATGAATAACTCGATATAGATTACTTATTTGTCAGGTAGATAATTTAGATAAAATTTTAATTTTTATGAAATTTAAGGTCTTGTAAATAGAGAATCAGCAGTCATAAAATCATATGTAATTCCACATACGATAAGAAATAATGAAGAATCTGATGTATTTAATTTGCTTTTTGAGTAAGTTATCTTGCTAATCATTTAAAAAAAAAACTCACTTTTTACACGCGTCTTCGAGGCTTTTAAGTTTCTGTAGTGTTTAGAGTTGCTTAAGAGTTAGGTAAAACTTTTAATTATATAATTTTAATTAAATAATGGTGAATAAGATATATTTCGTACATATTTGTTTATGTTTGAGTTCCATGAATTTATTTGTTTTGGCTAAAAAGGAACTGACGCTCTTACATGTAGTAAGCATTTTATTTGTTAAATATTATATACTGCCATTAACATAATTAATTAATTAATAGCAAAGTTCAGGTATAGTCAAATTGTTTATTATACTGTTGGCTGTGGCTAATCTGAGTGCTAAATGCAACGTAATATGTGATAATTAATGACTTGTACATTACTATAATTTATTATTTCAATATGTTTGGAAGTGATGTAATAGATAAAAAAGTTTGGCATTTTCAAGTAATATTTTACACTAAACGATTTTAATGAACGGGATAATATGAATTTGATTTAAAAGTGTACAAGTAAATATAAAATATAATGAACATAATTCGTTTTGCAGTTATCAGTCAACAAACTTTATGTTCCTGATTGTAATTCCTCATCAACTCTACTAACAGTTCCTAAAAATTTTACATACGAATATTTTCTAAAAAATGCCGTGGATTTGCCGAATGTAAGCAATTTTTCTATAATTCTATAATTATAGCCTTTTCTTTTCACATTATAATTTTAACAATTTCATATGACAGACTGCTAAAATGCAATTATTTAATCTTGGAACTTACTTGAGAAAAACATACGACGCCTTCTTAGGCTCATTATTGTTAGGAGATACAATGGAAATGCGTACGACGGAATTTTCTGTGTCAATTATTGCCGGAGAGTTGATAAATGCTGGATTATGGCCGCCTGTAGAATCACAAATATGGAAAGAAGATTTGCTTTGGCAGCCTATACCTTTCAGTATAAATATTGTTTATTTAATATCTGTGACAAGGCTTAATTTATATATGTTTTTTTTTTTTTTTAATATTGTATTTATTTCATTATAGTTTACGATGCAGCAGAAGATGACACCTTATTATTGGGTACGCTTTGTCCTAATTTTGAGTATGAAACAAATAAGGTTTTAATGGAACATAAATTAACAATGGCGCAAACAAAACTTTTAAATTACCTAAATAACGAAGGTAAAGTAAAAATTACAAATCCCATTGAAGTTGCTCTCTTATATTTTTCTATTGAAAATAGTGTAAGTTTATTGATCTTTTTATGATATTTTGTTTTCGATATATCTTTTGTAGTAAATTGCGTAATAAATAATTTTAGAACGAATTGAATCAAAGACAACCGGATTGGCTGATGAAAGTTTTTCCCAGTGAAAATATGCTAAATCTCACTTTAACAGCTTATGATTTGCTGAGTAAAACAATCGTACAAAAACGGTTAAACGGTGGTTCGATTATTAAAACGATAATAAAACATTCTAAGGATAAAATTAACGGAATTTTGAGCAGTGATCGTAAAATAAATATTTACAGTGGCGATGATCGTAATTTAGCAGGAGTTTTAAAAGTTTTAAAAATCCCATTCTATGAAATTCCACACGTAGGTGGAGCCTTAATTTTCGAACTCTTTGTCGAGGAAAACAAGTATTTTATAAAGGTTGTATTACATTTTGATATTTATAATTTTAATTTAATAATTTATTTAATTAAATACAAATGAAAATTTCAAATAATTATTATAAATACATAATTTATTTTCATAATTTGTTATTATCGTAAAATATATTTTTAGATTAATTATTATACTGGAATAAACAATGAAGCAATTCCTTATACTCTAGATGGGTGTGATTTATTCTGTCCCATTGAAAAGTTTTCTGAACTCGTTGCAGACATTTTAGTTGAAGATAAAGAATCTCCTTGTAGTTCAATGATGAAAATGACAGATAAAGAGAACATTGCATCTTACGGAGCCTCTGCAGCTGTTTCTCTCACTTCGCAAACATTATTCATTGCTTTTTCTTTAATTTCATATCATGTTATTATCAATATCTTATATCAATATCGAAATAGTAAATTCATAGCAACTTAATTATTTAATTATTACGAATATTTTGATATAAACAAGATTAACTTTTATATAAAAACTATCTGTTATATATAAAATATAAAGAAGATCACGTACTATGATTTATAAAATATCTACAATATATCATTTAATATAACTGTTTTCTCTATCATTTTAAGGTAAACGACGAATTTTTATGTAATTTACATGCACTAAAATAACGACTATTTATAATATGTTCTATTCTTGCTTTATTCATCTATTCAAGTTAACATAAATTTATAACTAATCGATAATTTAATTTCACTTCTACGGTTCATTTTCAAATATAATTTATTAATTCAAATATTATTCGAGTAGTTTTTAGATATGCAATAAATATTTTATTGCCTAGATAAATATACTGTAGAATTGTTGATAATGTAATAAGTAGAATTTTGCGAGTCATAACGTATGTCAAAGTAATATAATTTTATTCGTTTCGAAGTAATTTGTTATTATAACAAAATAATAAATACTATTGTTTTAAACCATAGAGTAACACCAGCGATAACAATTATTGAACGATAATGTGAAATTACAAATTATGGAAGCCTACATTGCGAATGCAAAAGCAATTGAATATTTTCAGCATTTAATTTTTTAAATTAAATTCATTTATCTGGAGTTTCGATAGAGAATTAAATACTACGTAAACTATTGGTTGACATTAATAATCTAAAAGAATTGGGCAACGTTCAATATGCAATGTATTTAAACCTATGTGCAATTATAATGGAATAAAAACTTACTTAAACGAATATAACAATATTTTTGGCTAATGGTAAACCCTATAGAATGCATGATAGTGTAGTTTAGTGGTAATTAAAAATGGTAAACAATAATTTACTTTATTCTTTAAATATTATACAAGTTCATTGCATTAATTTTATCCAGTAGTTTATTAAATACTTTTTCTTAAAAAAAATGTTTAAGATTTAAGATATATACAATTTTAATAATGCATTTACTGGTTAAAAAATTCGAAAATTGTAAGTAAAGTTAAATATAAAGTATTTAAGGAATGTGAGAGTGTTTATGTTAATTTTTTGATTTTCTTAAAATTGAATTTTATTCAATTAAAGATTACTACAAATACTTCTTATATATATATATACGTTGAAATACACGTTATTTTTAGCCATAAAATTATTAACGTATACATTTATCGTTATAGTAAATTTAAATCTCGATTTACTTGAATTTATGTTTTATCCACAGCTTGGGCATACTTTATCAATTCATTCGAAAATTAATTCGAAAAGAGATATATTTGACCAACGGTATATAGGCAACGAGGATACTCTACATTAATGTGTATATTGCATCTAAATGACATATAAAAGCTTTAATAATGATAAAACGTGTCAGTTTAATAATTGATTGTAAATGAATACTGAAAATATTATATCGATTTGAAAAAAATATTTAAAATATATTAAACAACATTATTTCAGACAAAAATTTCGTTATGAGATTCGACGTTCTCATCAGAAGCTATATTATATTGTCTTTAATGAAAAATTTTCTATTCCATAGAAAAAGTTACGGGTACGTACATTCGAAAACTATACACTGAAACCGATGTTTTACAAATTAGCCGGAATCGTTTATTCTCATTAAATGGAAATGTAAATATTCGAATTAATTATGAATCAAATGGAGGGAATAGAAATTTATTTGTTACATAATATAAATTTTCTGCAATTGGATTAATATTCATAGACAAGTACACAATTTAATTTTAAAACTATAATATTTTAAATATTAAGTCATTGAGCATATGATAAAAACTTTGTTCACAATATTTGAAATTTACCGTAGTAAAAACATCATAAAAGCAATTGAAATGTTACGATTTATAATTTACTAAAATTGATTCAAGCCTCTTTAAAACTGAATAATTTGATATTTTTAAAGATTATTAAAGACTCTAAAGAAATGTTTATTTGAAATTATGTCGCATGTGTCATTAATTACACGAGTGTTCGATTTCTTGTGATACAATTATGATTTGAGGGTGAGTTGAAAAAATACTGTAGAAAGTATGGCCGGTTGAGCCACAAAAACAAAGTCTCAACTTCGATTTTCAATTTGTATAAAACTATCTATATTTCTTTCTCTTGAACCTTTTATTCTTTTTTTTTTTTTTTTTTTTTTTTTTTTTTTTTTTATAACAAAGCGTTATTAAACAGAAACTTATATTTTTATCTATTTTATTATTGACAAGAAAGTATATTTCAACATTCACACAAATAAGCCACTATTAATTTCACTGTATTCCAAAACAAAGAACACCAATTTTCTTACATAAAAATGAGAAAGACAAGTAGCTTTATTTGTGTCTGAAAACCGCAGTCAGGACTTTCGCGATTAAGACACAAATGCCCATAAAGTTCTTTATTCTTTATTTGTCCTCGTATCTCAATTACAAGTGAAATCAGACACCCACGCTATTACGTAACATATGACACTCGTATAAATTGTTATTTTTCTATAAGCGTATATTTAAGAATACGTCTTGAATGTATTGTGAATAACTTATGTAAAATTGTTAAGTGAGTCGAGTATATTTTCTTAAATTAATAATTTATTGCTTATTACATTAGAAGTAACATAAAGTTTTAACTGTATTTAATATCTAATTAATGAAGAAAATGATAGCTTTTTGAATCAATAAATTTAATAAATCCAAAAATGCATAATTCTACAGGATTATATTTTTATTCCTTTTATGTAACAATATTTAGTATTATTTAATTAAAACGATAAAGACGGTTGTTTTTTCTTTGTTTTTTTTTTTTAAGAGAAATTTACACTTGACTTTGATTCAATTTTACTATATTAATATATGTGTGTGTGCATGCTTCTGTTATTGATGAATTACAGAAAAAACAATTTTTTATTTGAATTATAAAATGATGATTCTTGTAAATTATATAATGAACTTTGATCCATATAAAAAATTTATGTAAAATAAATAATACATAAATAATATTACAGTAAAGTATAACAAGACTTAGGATACCAATGTAAAAAATTCGATCGATGTATTTTCGTTATCAAAATATATATTCTATATATAATATTATCAGCGTGATCGATAATAAATTTTTTTAATGTAAAAATTACTTAGTATTTGTAAGAAACTTAAAATAATAATATGCTTACAATATTAATAACTAATATTTAGGCTGTAATTACAATTATAAACTACGACGAGTAGGACATTTTTATTGTATACTAATTTCAAGAAATCGTTTAATCAGACTTTTACCGTATTAACTAAATAGTATACTTTCTAAGAGTAAAAACTTATTATCCAAATAATAAATGGTAATATAAAAATTAATCGATTTCGAGAAATGTTTTCTTTTTTTGTTTGTTTTTTTTTTTATACAAAAAAATATCTGTTTGCTCAACAATTTTTTAATTTTCAATTTAACATCTTAAAAGAATAACAATAATTCGAATATAGATAGTAATCTATTTAGAAACGTAACGAGTAAGAATTTAAAATTAATAATAATATATTGATCCCACATTTCACTGGAAGTCAGATAAAAATATATATTATTAATATCAATTATTTAGAATTGGCAATGTGCTTGAAGCAATATTATTAAAAGACGAAATAAAAATACGAATCTTGTAAATCTTAACATTTATAGTTTTCTCTTGTTGTGTCATATTCATTTTTATTTTGACATTAACATGTATTTATAGGTCTGACATTACAAAATATGATTTTTCTTTAGGTAATATGCATCTGTTTATCTATATATAACTTTATTTGTATTTCCATTCATAATTTTTTATCGTTAAAACATTCTTTTTACCGAAAAAAGTCAAATGTGCAATTGAAATTCTATAATTTCTACTTACGGCATAAATATGTTTAACAAAGCTTAAATTATGACTTAAAAAATTATCAAATTTCAAATCATAAAATTTGTTTAGTATACAAAATAATTAAATTACTTGAAATACGTTGTTTATTGTTAAATAAACCGATTGTTTTAATATTCAAATTATGTACATATTTTTCCGAATGACGTTTTTCTTCTTCTTTTTTTAACTAATCCACAAATCTTACATTATCTCAAGTGCTAACTATTTTAATAATTATTGTACTTTTTGTTGGGAAAACTACCGATATACTAATTCAATTTAGCACCAAGTCACGATCGCCCGAAAAGCTATTGAAATTGTTTCTTTAGAATATTTTTATGATACGTTTGGCAGTTCGAAATAGTTAGTAAAGTAGCCAACTCTTTTTAAAAGAGTTTGTATTTTTTCGCAAAATTTCCTTGACTATCTTTTTCTAAAAGTGAGCAGAGGATAAATTTTCGCAATCACAAGTATTTTACATTTAATTAAAAATTTACGAAGACATTGTACCTTTAATTTATTCTATCTTGACAATTAAATTTTGCAAGTATATAGATTTAATTCTAAGTTAGTTGATGACTAATACTGATGTATCTTTGTTAATGGTAACTTGTAAAAAAAATTGTTTATGTCACGTAATGTTGATTTGTCAGTTTGACTTGTATAAAATAAAGTTTGGACGATATATGCATACGTAATAGATAGACTCTTAGTACTTTTTTTTTTTTTTGAAAAAATTAAAATTAATCACAGTTGAAGTTAAAATAAGAGATTAAAAACGCTTTTAAATAATTTCAATAGTTTGTTAGTAGAGTCATATAAGTAAGAATTTCAATCCATTATTTATAGTTGGCAAATAAAATATTTACAAGCTTTGGTAATTTGACAGCTATAAATCAGGTAGAGAAATGCCGTTCTTTCTAAAAAATTAATTATTGTAAACATTAGTTTTGCATTACTCTAAATCACATTAGTAGTATATATTCAAAAATTATTAAGTTTAGGTGATTTGTTCAACAAGAATGATAAACAAATGTCACAGATTAATATTAGATACGTCCATGGGCACATAAGACATGTATTATGTATATAATATCGCTCGTAGAATTACGCAAAAATATGTTTATATTATGGATAAATGATCGATTGGCACATGGATACATTTTTGTTTCTGTTTATCGATCCAAATTTGTTATTATTCGCCATCTGAAGACTCTGTTGAACTTTCTGGCATCGAACTAAACCAGTTCCCACGAGAGCTACTGCTTCTACATACAAGTAAGAAATTTAATTTGAAATCAATATTTATTCGAAATTATTAAATAACATAAAACATTTATTAAATCCGTATAACATGTTATTATGTTATTTTTAGATTTTAAATATACGCAAAGCAAACGCATTTAAGCATTTTTTTTTTGTATGATGTATTTTTAAGTAAGATATTAAAATTTAAAATCAATTGTTTTACAATTAATTGAATTGTTCAATAGTACAATTTAAAAGGAAAATACATAATTAGAATTTGAAAAATACGCCTATGAAATTAGAGACACATATCTAATTACGTATCAACTAGTACGTTAAAAAACTTGAAATCAAATACTTTTCTTATGCGTCATTTTTTCTGTTTGTATATTCTCTTATTGAATAAACAATTTGATTTAAATTTCCTGTTTAAATAATAATTTATGTAATTACTTTACCTAGTACGCTGACGAGTACTTGTTGGTAGAGTAAGAGAAGCTCTATAATAATGTGGAGCTACATTCGAGGTAGTGTCTTCTGGTCTTCTTTGCAGTGTCATTGTTTCGTGTGGCGATGTAACAAGCTCATCTTCATTTTCTAAATAGTATTTAGAGTCAGTAACACCTTTACAATTTTCACATTCACTACGATAATCATCGGTATCATCGTGTAACGGTGCAGCAGCCTGCGCATTGCAGGTACAAGTTACAGAATCAAAACTTCCTTCCTCGTTAACTTCGTTTGCTGCAGCTAAAGGAGGCTATGCAAAGAAATCAATTTTAAGCGTATTAATAATATATGATTATTTGAAATGAGAAATTTTACGAATAACTATTTCATCAAATGACAACATTTTGTTAGTAATTATTAACAATACTTCAATATAAATTTTTATTCTACTCAACGTAGAAATAAAATGTAAGATTAATGTGTTTCAAGTATTAAATTATTCAAATATTCACATATATAATAATTCATATTATTTAACAAAATTAAGTTGCAGCTGTTACTACGAGCGGCAAAATAATAGCTTCAAAAAACTTTTTATCACCTTATAATTACACAAGGAATTATCTGCGAATGCAGTTTCTCCAGTCACTGCTGATATAGAGGATGAATCTCGAGGACATGAAATATCATAGAAAATATTTTTTTGCACTGTAGCATCGCCACTTGATGTTGATGGTACGCTCGACGGAATGACTAACGGTGGAATCGTCGACCTGGGCGATGGGTTCCCATTATCCGTTGTATTTTTTGGAAGAATTAACGATGTCTCGAATAATGGAACTGCTGACTCGTGCATTGGATACTCTTTACGTAATTGTAAGCTACCACTGGTAGTTGCTGGAGTTCTCGGTATTGTTCGGTGCACTCCTGCACTAGAATTCGAAAGTTTGGTGGATATTGTAAAAGCTCCATTCAAACGAGGAAGAGTAGTATACTGTTGATGACTACATACAGATGAATTTTGAGAGTTTGGTAACAAAAGTTGATTACTTGAAGGAACAATCTGTTGAGACGTAATACTTGAAGCACTATTAGATAAACCTGTGAATAATTGAAAACAAAATTTTTTAATGAGAATTATGTATTTTTATTCCGTATTCATGAATTCAAGATATATTCAAGATAATCAGATTTTACACGTCAAAGGATATTAAATTGTTAGCTCTACCTGATCTATTTATAGGAGTCGATATCTTCTCATAAGTATTTGGATTCGAGGCAAAACTTGTTGAACAAGCTCCGGTACATAAATCCGAAGCTGCTGGTTCTATTTGATTAATTTGATAGCAACTATGAGCTGCTGGACTACTCAGAGGTCTAGTATTGCTAGAAATCAGCGGTGATGTATTTGTTGAATTATTTTGTAACAATGTCGGAGAGCTGGCTGGTAAACCATTCTGACTGTTTGCGACTATCGACAGATTTGTATGAGTATGAGTGGTCAAATAGGTATTGGAAAAATTCAAAGGGGAGAACGAATGTGAATTAATTGCTAGTAGAGCTTGTTCCGCTCTAGCTGCTGCTACTGCCTCTTCATAAGGTGGAGGAGCTTCGCCACGCGGAAAGTAATTACTCGGTGGTTTCCACAGAGGATAGCTCCCATTATACTGTAAATCATCCATAGGCATACCATGTTGTATATTGTTTCTATCTAAGTATCCCATACTACCCAGTGACCTTTGATCATCGGCTAATTGATGACTTTGTCTTTCAGCTATACATATTAAAAGATATTCACCTTTTATCGATAGGAATTTCTCATCAATAAAAATAGTTAATTCATTATAAACTACACAATATGCTATTATGTAACGTGAATAAAATTCAGTAATAATAAATATTAAATATCGTCATATCAATTAATTTATATGGTTCTGGATCCAAATTCTGTATTTTTGTTAATGTGATTTGTAAGCCGAAGGAATCATTTTCTTTGAAAATAAATAGATCTCAAATATCAAATGAAATACGAGATCTTTTTCAAAAGTAATTATAAAAAATAAATATAATAGTTTCCATTGTAAAATCAAAACATTACCTCTTAGTTTTCTCTGTCTTAAACGATGTATCAGGAATATCAATAAGCCAAGGCATAAAAGAGCTGTGATACAGCTGGCCACTAACCGCAGTCCCAAATCATAATTTGTATTACCATCCACCATGCTTGTACCATTTCCATCCACTTTATGATTTATAGAGGATCTTGAATCATCCACGCAAATCAATTCACAGCAGGTATTGCCAAAACAATTCACTCCTGCATTTGATAAAGTTTCTCGATCTTTGTACTATAAATAAAATCAATTTACCTTGTAATTTTAAATAGTTTAGGAATTATCTATTATTGTGGATGAAAAAACATGGCAATTTGAAAAAAAAAAAACAAACAAACATAGTTGTACAACAATTTAAATTCCTTCTGAGACTCTATTGAAATAATATGTTTCAAATTTATTTGATTACAATAATTTTTACTCATATTTGAAGAAAATATATAATACATTATGGAGACTTAATTTATAATGATCGTTTATTATGACTTTCTAATATTAAAATTATATTGACTTATGTGTAAACAATTATATTATTACATACAATACTTATGTTTAATTAATTATAATAGATTTATAATTAAAAAAATATTTTCTTGTATTTTATAATACAGCTTTTAACATTTTGGATATGTAGGAACTGACTGAGATCTTAAAACAATCTCTAAATCATTTTAATAATTTTTCAACAAGAACAAAATAATTGAATTGTCAAATATTGAAATTAGCTTAACAATTATAAAACTACTAGACTATTATAACACAGCTATAATATATAATATATTAGATTGATAGTTTAATAGAATAAGATTAAAGAAACGCAGAAACGCATAATATTTTATAATTACTGAAAATAGAACAGTTTTTGAGAGTTAAATGGAATAAATCAATACGATAATCATTGTGTAAAACACTAACAGTGTTAATGGTAACAGTTATAAACGTTAAGTTTATTTTCATTCATTTGCATTTTATCTATCATAAAATTTAGGTTATAGATGTTTTAGAAAATAATAAAAGGTTTAATCGTTGGGCTCCTCATATGCATAACAAAAAGATGTTTCCATGCAATTTTTTAAACATAGATGGTACTATAGAAAAGTACCATGTAAATAATCACTTATGCAATGATCTTATTGATCCAATTTATTTACTATTAGACTATTTTCTATTATAGTGAACTATTAATTTTATTATTCCTATAAATTGTGCTCGTATAGTATCAAATATAAACTTTTCTTACAAAAGACAAACGAAAGCTTAAACGTATGTCTTTGAAAGATAGAATTCATCGACATTGAGTTTCTAAATTATTAATCCTACTTAACAAGTACTATTTATTGTACAAATTTAAAACAAAATATTCATCTTTTACTTATTATTCTTGTAAAACATATTTATGTATTACTTTAGCCATGGACAGTGTGATACGTATGCTATATTAAATTTCGATATTAATTATAAACAAGACGTTCATCCGATTTTTACATCACTTTGATAAAATACACTTTAGAAATTTAAATACAATTTGATTTGTTATTTGTCCGAATGACATACAATGTAAGGTGAAAAAAGTTAATCGATACAAGTAAAAGAAATTATACCTTGCAGAAAAATGGCTTACACAGCTTAGGATTTCCATTATCGCACACACAAAGCGTACAAGGTTCTAATTCAAGAATATAGTGAAAGCCAGATTCATGAAATAATCCATTTACATCTTTGCAGGTAGCACCAGCAGCCGATACTTTGCCTTTAAATAAACAAGAAAACAAACACTGTGATTATTCATCGACGTATCATTCAAAATTACAAAATATTTTATAAGAAATTCGATTTATAAGAAAATCATAAGAAACTTATTTAACGAAAATCACCCTCTCAACATTCTGACAAAATGCCACATCATTTTCCTTAAATATCACAATACTACCATTAAAATTACCAAAGCAAAGCTTAATAAATTGAGAACAGGGCAGGCTGATGATGAAAGGGTAAAAAAACCTTCCATGATATTCGTCGAAGAGATTAAACGTGCCAAGGCCCGGGGCACAAACACGCATAAGCCGACTCGCTCATCTCGGTCAGCTTTTGTATAAAAACAATGCAACAATCACCGTTAAATTGCAGGGTGAACGTGAGGACCGCATAGCCAAGAAGGTCAGCGCTGTATTTCATTCTGCAATCGTTATCTCATCGTAGCGAGGTGGTACGGTTTTCGTCGACAAGCATCGAACGATAATCGGAAAACGTCTCGTCAACTTTTCTTCCTTCCTTCTCGAGGAGACGAAAATGGAACTACTGTCAGTGGGTGCCGTCAGCTCGTCACTCGCCAAGCTGTCTCTTTCAATTCTGCGATCTATATGCGCGAGAGATATGTGTGAGAGAGAGCGAGAGAGAGAGAGAGAGAGAGAGATAGAGAGAGAGAGTGAGTGAGTGAGTGAGTGAGTGAGCGAGCGAGTAACGGAGCGTTGGCGAAGGATGGCCGAGAGGGAGGAAAGATAGCGGAGAGAGGGAAACACGCGTACATATGTACATGCATGCACGGGCCCGTGTATCAAGACGTCGCCGTGAACATCATCTACGTGCGCGCATTCGGAAAGTGTCCGAGCGAGTCTCACATTAGCATACACCGGCTAAGAAATCTCGATACACTGGCCGACTAGGGGCGGCCCTTCTCCAGATCCAATAATCCTCTCCGCGTAGTCGGTCGGTCTTGGCACGCACACATGGGAAAGGGGAGAAAAGCCAGCCAGGACAAAGAGCCGCTACGTACGGTCGATTGGGGGGCCGGACGGAAGCAACAGCAGCAGTGGCGGCGGTAACAACGGCTACGACGGACAAACAATAACAATAACACACACCTATATCCTCTCACCCCCCTCCCTCAACCGTTTTAACTCCACGCCACCTGCGCAGGGTAGGAGAGGAGATGGACGAGATGACTATAGCGGGGCTCAATTGGGTTGGCAACTACTGCGTTCCACACGTCCACGGACTTTTTCGTTGGAGGTGCGTTATTGAATGGGTGGATGTGCTGAGCCTCGGTATAACGAATTCTGGATCGTGAGGCGTGATTGTTGAGAAGGCAATATGGCGTCGCATGGAGGAAGGGGGCCGTACGCGCTTATTTACATGTGAAATACGATCGAGGAGTGGAGCCAGAGTTGTGTTTATATATTATATAATGCGCGCGCGGTTCAGTTACTTTCCTCACGATTCGCCATTTTGACTTGAGTGTTCAATTACCGTGTGCGAACGTTGCTCAGATTACCAAAATTGTTGCCCGTAATTTGCATTACTTGTAATGGCTTTAACAATTAAGATTTATGTTGCAACAAACACATTGCCGGCACTAAGAAGCCGCCACCACGAAGCTAATTCCGCTCGTTTAATATTCTCTTTGATTCGAAATTAACCCACTTTACGCTTTATTTATTTATTCATATAATTATAAAATTTTTTTTTGACGAAAAATCAGAATAAATCGTTAAATACTGGCACTGTTTCATTAAAAATCCGGTATTATTACATATTTTATATATTTTAACTGTTGTGTATACCAAATTTACTTTATATTTCAATTGTTTGAAATGCTTTCTTTTCTTATTACGTGCATTCCCAAATATTTATAAAAGTTTATTTTACGTTTAGTTTAGGAAAGTTTATACAAATTGGATATATATTTTATACGTTTATAAGTTTGTATGAATTAAAAAAAAAAAGAAATAATTATAAATGATATAGTATGAAAATTTATGCACTGCAAGTAAATGCGTCGCAGAAAAAAAATATAAAAAATAAATTATTTTTTTTTCAGCGGTTTTCAATTCTCATAAAAAAAGAGAGAGAGAGAGAGAGAGAGAGAGAGAGAGAGAGAGATAGAGAGAGAAAGAGAAAGAAAAGCGCATTTCTACTCCTAAAACCTAGGCTTATTCAATAATGTAGTTATAAACAAGAAAATACAAATCGTTTAATATCGAAACGACGATTTTTGTATATGCGCATTTATAAATATTTTAATTGTCTTATATAATAACATTAGAATTTGAAATTATTATAGATAAACAATAAAATTATTCCAAAACATTTTTTCTCACTGCGCTGTTGTTAAATATTAAAAATAATTTGTTTCAACGTGGTACATAAATATTATGTAATAGAATTAGATTGCAAGTGTGTGTCGTCATTAGACTATAATTAAATGTATAAAACCAATTAAATTTCTTAAATAGCAGTTATTAAAAAAAAAAAAAAAAAAAAAAAAAAAAAAAAAAATTACCTTAAATTAATTTCAATTGAATTATAAATTTAAACATTCTCCTTTTGATTTTGTTAAGGTTTATTAATAATCAAAGTTATTGAATACAATAGCTCAATGGTAACTCGGTTAATATAATAAATGATTATGAATATTGAAATTGTAGATTGATATTTATGTACTCAAATTTAAGAATTTAAAATTAACAAATATTTAAAGTACATAGACTTTTAAATAACTTAACATTTGTAATATAGCCATTTCAGATAAGGCATTGATTATTTATTTTTAAATACTTAAAAGAAATTCGCCTAGAGAAAAACTTTCTAACTTTCTCGTATGCTCAACGCTCGTTTAAACATATTTTTATTACAGAATACTGAAAAACAAGTTGTTTTGTACAGATAAAACTAATATTTTATGTGTCAATATTTTAGGCGTAGGAGAATCTTAAGTAATATATTAACTAAATTGCTCATCTATAATATAAAATTTAATGTTACATGGAACTTTTATTCCTTTATATCATTTATTAATATTATTCCTTATACCAACAAAGATAAACTTATGGCAATATAATGCCGTATGCGACTATACTTAACATATATAATTGTATTTATATAAACTAATTATATCTTTATATTGTATTTTTTTATAACAAAATTGGAAAGATAATATATTCTAAAGTTGTTATAATTATAGCGAGTATAAATTTATTTATAAAAACAATAGTAAACTTTATAAACTACATAAAATATTATGAAATCCGTGTAACTATTAATTGGCCATAGTCCTTAGATACCTATTGTACTAATACACAACTATATTATACAATTATATTAATAAATATTATACCACAAATAAGGATTACAGTGCACTAGCCATTAAGCAATTCCTTAAAACCTTCTTACTTATATTGACGCGTAGTTTATTTTATTTAAAAAAATTTTTTTTTGTTTTTGTTTTTGTCTTTAATAAATGCATTGTTACAATTTATTATTATTATTGACTTTCAATTTAAAAACTATTTTATAAATAACATAAAATCAAATAATTATTACTAAAATTATAGTAATATTGACAGTAAATATGTTTGTTTGAGATAAAAATAAGAACTTCGTATCGCATTATGAAATAATAAATGAAAATAAAGAAACCTATTCGATCAATCATGAATATATTTATAATTGTTAATGTAAACACATAATAAGATATATAATTATATAGTGCTCTAGCGCTTAATAATACTTAAATGTTTGAATTAAAAAAAAATAAATAAAAAAATTAAAAAAAAACTACAATAATCTTGTGTATTACATTAAATTAAAGAACAAAATGAGATTTTTAAATGATAATAAAAAGCAATGATGATATTTATATTTCCAAATACGAAAATTAATTGAAAATTTATGTTAAATCTATCTTTTTAATAAAAAAATTCAAATGAAACAGTGTTTATACAGTCATTATAAAATAATTCTAACATAATTCTAATATAAAGTGATTTAAATTTTTCGAAATGCAACTCAAAAAATGAAAACAAAATTAAATCATATTTTTGACATTTTCAGGTTAAGCGATTAGTTTAAATTTTTCACAATCAGTTCAAAATTAATGTTTCGGCTTTAATTTCAAAATTACATACTAGTTTACATTTTACCACAAATTATATTTCAATAATAAATAATATTTAAATAAAAACAGTAAAATATAAAAATCAATTATGCAAGAACTCGAAGATGAGCCCGATGATGTGAAAAATGCAAGTCCGGTTTCCGAAGAAGTTAAAAATGGAGAAGTTGATGAGATTATTGAAAAAGTTTCATCTCCCGTAAAACACGAACCTCGAAACGCACATAAATGCTGCAAGCAAAATGCACGTATTTTAATAAACTAAGAAATATTTTAATTTTTTGGTTGAAAAAAAAAAAAAAAAAATCTGTTTTACCGTGTACATTAAACATTTTTTTTTTTTCATATATAGACGTTTAACAGGGTACCGACATTTGACGCTTTAAATACATTTGTTTGTTTAAATTTTTAATACTTCTCGGAAGTATGCAAAAATTTTATATATATTATGTCTTAATGAAACTAAATATTTGTTTAGTTTGCGTTATCAATGCGAAAGATAACACAATTCGAATGAAGATAATATATAATTATCTTTTGCCATTAACAAAAATTTGAAAATTAGAAAATTTGCTTTATATTTACTATTTATGATTTTGTTTTTATATTTTTAAACGATCGAATATTTTAGGTAATGTATTATTCTTGTAATGGGAGAAAATATTTATCACGCATTATGTTTATTTTACTTATGTAGAAACCGGTACCTAAAATCTCCAAGTCTTGCCCTGAAAAGAAGGAAAAGAAGGTGGAAAAACCTCCTGAGCCCATACAATTTTGCACTCCAAATCCTTATAAACGTGTAAAACTGGAATTAATACCTCGCCATTGCCTGACCAAAGATGAACACCAAGACACTCTTGCTATGCCAAAGTACATTCGTGAAATTGCAGGTGCTAAAAAGTGTTACGACAGCAATGAAAAAAAATCAGTTCGCAAAGTTCGCACAATATATCCACGCACGGAGTGGCTATCTAAACCAACTAAACGTCGAATGCTCATGACACTTACATACAAAAGCTCGTTTCTGTCGGCAAAAATGTTAGATCACTTGATCGATGTTTTGGAATCTGAAACTGCCATAACACCCGAGTAAAATATTGTTTTTTATTTCTTAAACATTCGATATTTCATTTACAATATTTTTTGCAGTAATATTAATGTTGAACGAATAAACATTATTGATAGCGCTTTTTTATTTTAAGTCACATAAGATTTTATATAAAGACATAATATTACAGGCAAGCGGAAGAGATTATACGAGATAAAAAAATGAAGAAAAAAGAAGTAAAGAAGAAGAAAAACAAAATCGATAAATGCCAAAGTAAATGTAAATCGGAAACAAAGGAGACGGTAAATAAACTTTTAAGCTGTGGCGATCCAAGCTTAGATTTAGAAGCAGCCGAATGTCAATATTCAATGGCTCAGCGTTTTGTCAGAAGTATCTTAAATTGGAAATGTTTGTATCCACGGGATGACTATCGCGATATAGCTGAGGTAATACTTGAGAGGTTAAGTAAGCAATTGGAATACATACCGATTGGAAATGAGGACCGAAAGTCCGAGCAGATGCGACTGTTGGCTGATATATTTGCGTGCTGGATATCAGAAATATTGACCAAGGTAGCGGAAAAATATTGCGATGAACTAAGCGATATTGAAAGCGTTAAATGTACAGACCTCGAAGAGGAGAAAGATGACGATGAGTATACGGACGAGGAAGACGGATACCCGAAATATTTGGAAAGCCATTGTGGAGATAATGCAAGGAAGTGCCCATCGATCGATGATTTTGAAAACGATGATACTGATTCATTGCAAGGTGAAGAAAATTTAAGTATATCATCATCGGACGACTGTATAGACGAGGAACAACAGACCGAACCGAAACCCCAGATAGATTGTTCAACAATAACGCCAATTAAAGTTGAGAAGGAAATTAAGATAGACAAGGTCGCTGTGGCAGATATTAAATGCTGCGAACAGGTAGAGATGGAAAAAATTGCATCTCGTCTAGGCCAAACGGACGTACCCTTCATTACTTTCGCTAAGATCTTTGATGCTCTCTACTGTATGATCGATTCCGAACCAGCGAACGACCTCTGTTGTCCAATGGATAATCGCATTCATCGGGCGATTTATGAGAAATTCGAGGAAGTTATACTGCTCGAGGACTCCAATCTTCTTACCGAACGTATGAAAGACATCTTGGACGTGGTCACTGGTAAATTGGCCAAATGGTTGAGTAAGGCACTCAACAGGCGACAAATTAAATTCTTCGAGGAAAATCCGGCTCAGGTGGAATCAAACGAGATACGTTGCTGGGCAAAGTGGATAGACAGCGCGGCTAACGTTGCCTCCGATTGGTCTAACTGGATACATACGGTGACCACAGAGGCTCAGTGCATAAAACAAGCCGGTGGAATAACGCGCAACAATTGGAAAAACTGGACCGGAAAGTTCGAGACCAATGCTTTACAGTGGAGAAAAAAGTACATGGAGACTGTTCACCAGGAGCATCATAATACCATGATGTTATGCGATAGGGAAGTACTTAAGACCTGCACGAAGAAGATACCAGAGTATAGCGAAACAATTCTAAACAATACAAACTTCGAGTCGTGTTCGAAAATGCATTAATGAGAGCAATGAAAAAAAAAACAAAAAAAAAATTAATAAAAAAAAAAAAAAAATAATAATAATAATAATAATAATAATAATAATAATAATAATAATAATACAGTAACGAATTTGAATTAACAAGTAACATTTATAAAAATAAATGCAAAAAATATAGTAAAACATTAAATTGTAAATGATTGGGGGGAAAAAAAAAAACAGAAAAAGAAAAAAAAAGGAAAATAAGAAAAACAAGTCTTTCATCTATTATTGTCTACGGATACGTTTAATTCTTTATTTGTTAAATTGAATTGAACAATTCAAAGGGATTTGTAATATAATATTGAATTATTATATAATATTAAATTAAATCATAATATTGTTAATAAGCTCATATTATACAAAAATAAATAAGCTCAAGCAATAATAATTTATTTCATTTGCTTAAATTTATTCGGTCAATAGCTGCTCGAAGGTCTTTCAGACGTGGATGCAAAAGCACAATATTAAAATATCAATGCAATACGCAGTGAGAGTTTGTCAACTACTTTCTAATCCGGTTTGGTAAAGTTTTTTAATATAAACGCTCGAGTCCAGCCTGTCCAATAAATAATATCATCGACTATGAGGGAATGTGAGAGTAGACGGCAGAGAAACGCTCTTGAGAAAAACATTTTATTAATAAATATTATTTATACAATTATAGTAAACTCGAGGATAGACGAGTTTTTTTTGTATCTATATATATATATATATATATATATATTTTTTATATTTTATATTGCAATTGATAGGCTTACTAATTACTATAAATGCCGGAAACGTGTAAAGCCTACGCAATGACGTTTATCAAATTTTAACATTTGGATTATTGAAGATGATAACTCACAATTTCTAAGACAAGTATTTCAATATTGACACTTTTTCTAATATAATCGCCAACTATATACATTTCAAACATGCTTTTTTAAATTGTTCATTATAGATTAAAATTTATTACTTTAAAATTTAGAAAAATATATCTTGCATAATTCAAATCGTAGTTTCCATGTATAAGAAGTCGTAACAATTATCACCATCCTACCAATTTACTTCTTTTTATTCATAATTGTCATTTGACTAAAATAAGACATTTAGACATCCACTTGAAAAACAAAAAAAAAAAAAAAACAAAAAAAAAACAAACAAAAACAAAACAGAAAAAAAATGTGTGTATATCGAAACGAGTAAATGCAAAGATAACGATAATGCATCGGAAAGGTATATTTTACTATCATTTAAGCTCATTACTTTAGTAAATGAAAAACTTTTGAATTTTAATTTTAAATATTCAAATCTATCTTATATTAACAATAAATTCTATACATTTATTATTTTAATGTATACTTTTGTAATTTTTTTATATTCGTAAAGCTATGTTTATAAACTTAAGTATCATTAAAAATGTTATTGACAGGAAACGCGTAAAATGCTAAAATGTTTCGACCAAAATACTATTCAGAAGATATAAAATATTGTATGCTAAGTATGGGTGAAGTTGCGGAGTCACCAACATTTGGTAAGCACATTTTTCATACGCGATTAGCGCAATACATGAAGCTCTGCAATGATTTAATGAAGTTTATTATTGTAATTGTTAATTTTATTCTTGCGAGGAGAAAAGTAATTAAGGAGTAAAATAGTAATATAATAATAATAATAAGTTTCGTCATTAATGAACATCATGTTTCTGTAACGGACTAAAATATTACATTTTTTAATTTAAGCACATTAAAAATTTCAACCTCTAATGCTAATTTATACAATAGCAAATTTTTCATAACATTGTTTTAAATGATTACATTGTCCATTTTCTTTACACAAAGCTTGCACATATGTTGGAATAATTATTCATAGTATGTGTGCAGTGTCTATGTAGCACACAGAATGAATAAAGCATCTTTCATAATGTATTGCGTTCAATTTACATAACAGATTTCCTATATACGAATATTCCATATATTTAAATATTTAAATATTATATGCTTAATGAAAATATGTAAATTCAATAAGCGCTAATATTTGCAAAATTAATCATATTTCTTTTAACGATGATTCTTGTGCTTTTTGCAATGACTCTTTTATTATTAGCATTCAATGAAATCTCAAACAATTAGAGCCTTATAGTTTTTAAATGGCTGCAATTAAAGTATCTATCGATCATCCTTTATCATTGTCATTAATATCAATAAGATTGATTTCTTAATATGTTTTAATATAAAAATTAATATTAAATTGTGGCCTTGCGTTTCGATAAGATTAAATTCGTCATATTTTAATATACACGATGAATCTCATCCTCGCTGGCTACATTAATATTTCCCATTAAAAATCAATAGAATACTTATTCAATTATCGAGTACATAGTATACACTTTAAGATGTTTGCAGTGATGAAAAATTAATTAATATTGGTGAATTTTCATTCTGCATCGAGCGAGATTTTAGCAAACACGTAAGCACCATGCTGGCAAAAAAATTTTTTACACGACTTAATTTCCTATTTTTGATAACTCCGACGGTGAATTTCAAATGGTTGATTGTTGTAAAAAGTCTTCAGCGGGTTCATTGCACGGTGATTTAAGAATATTTCCCTTGAATTTTGGTTTCTGCAAATAAAAGAGAAACAAATACAGAGGCATGTTTATAATTGATAATAGGCAATTAAACAAAAATATCATTATAAATTTATAACAAAAGCACAACAGCTATTTATCAATATATTTATCTTTGATTCTATACTTTTTCTAGCCATTAATATTTAATTGAACTTAACAGTTTACGATAGTTGCTCGTAAGGTAAGTATACCAATTAATTGTCATTACACTAAAATCCTCTTAGTTTAATAAAAATAAAAATAAAAAAAAACAAAAACAAAAACAAACAAAAAAAAACTTCTCTTACCAAGTAATTCTTCACCACAATAGCTTATAAATTATTACTCAAACTCAATATTATTAATAACTTTTATGAGACGTTATTTTTAATATTTTTACGTTGTTGATAATAAAAAAAAAAAAATTGATTTTTTAAATAAAGTAATCATTTTACAATTTCATTATAGACGAGTAATTTGTCGAATTTTAATGTAATATTTAGCACGTAAATAAATATTTTTAATATAAAATAATAATACAGATACTTATAGATTTTCAATGATATTTTCATTGAACACCAACATCTTTTTTCGTTAAAATTCTTTCGTTAAACATTTTCCAACTTTTTTTCTAAGTTATTAAGCAAACGAATATTAAAGATGTGGATCTATATAAGATATTATATAAGTTTGCCAAAGTTGATTAAACAATCTTGGAATTTTATTGGGCAAATTTTGCAAGATCTCGTGAACCGTCGTATATTGCTTCGATTTCATTTTAACTATATAATTGATTTTTATGAAAAGTCTCTCTGTTTATTTCATAAAAAAGAAAGGCCTAAATAAATACATACGGGAATATCCTATTGAAACGCATAACCCGTCTGTATTGCCGTATTTTTTATAATAAATTATGATGATTTCAACAAAATTCGTCTATGCCAAAAGTGGAACGTAAAGCAACGTATAAATGATAAATAATCTAAAGCTACTAAGATAGAGTAATAATGGTATCTAAAGTTTTGGATGTAAATTTATTGAAATTTCTCTTTTGCCGTATTCAAAATGAAAAGCAAAAAATCTTGAATTTTAAGTCCAACGCTGGCGATTAGCATAAATAAGCCTCATAAAATAGAGAATTGGAGCAGATCGACGAATATTTGAATTAATCTGAAATCTAATGGTTGATGGGATATGGATGGGGGTTATGATGAGGGGGGGGGGGGGGGGGAGGAGGAGGAGGAGGAGGAGGAGGAGGAAATAAAGGCATCGACAAAAAGATCGACGACACGAAAACGGAACCCGTTAAAAAGCGAGAGGATTTTGAGTCTCGTGTAGCATTGAAACGCGTCCAATGCAGGTCTTGACCTACTGCGAGGCTATCCAAAGGAAAAGAAGTCGGCTAAAGTAAAACTGGTATTGGGTGAAGGTAAGCGGTGGAAGCGGAAGCGAGAAAGAGAGAAGTGAACGGTACTTGCTGAGAAACGATGGCATCGTTGGGATCGTTCGCTCGACCATAAGATTATGGTTTACCGGAAGGTAAACATTAAATATTAACCTTCCAACGGCACCAGTCATCCGGTGCGCGTCTTCATTCTTAAATCCCGGAATTTTCTAAATCTTTACGTCTAGCAGATTATTAACGCCTCGTCCATAAACACGCGGCGTTTGTTTACACGTTTTCACGACCGCCAATATTGTTGGACGAGCAGCCCACGTAATTCATATAATAATTACTATCAAATAAAAGCCGCTGACGGCTGATAATCACTGTAGCGGCACGCCTGACATTATTCGCGCTTAATATCGTGAGGAGAAGAAGTAAGAGGCGGATGAGGAGGGGGAGGAGGGCGAAGATCGTAACAGGAGGATAACCTAGATTCGGCTCATCCTCGTTGAAAGTAAAGTGTGCCATCGGTGTTTCCTACTGCGTGTCGGCGTTGCTGCTGCTATTCCTGTTGTTGCTGTTGTTGCTGTTGTTGTTGCTGTTGCTGCTGCTGCTGCTGCTGCTGCTGCTGCTGCTGCTGCTGTTGCTGCTGCTGCTGCTGTTACCGCTGCTCGTGGTATTTTTACCGCTGTTGCTGTTGTTGCTGTTGTTGCTGTTGTTGCTGTTGCTATTGCTGCTGTTGCTGTCGCTGCTGCTGCTGCTGCTGCTGCTGCTGCTGCTTTCTCGGCTCGCGGGTAGGGGGCCTCGGTAGCCCTGACATTGTGCGCGCGCGCCTGGAACGGGAGCGAGACGACGACGGCGCATCGACCGATCGACGTCGCGACGCCCGTCACAGCGAGACGCTACAGCCAGACGCTGCTTGTGTGCCGTATTTAAGGTTCGCTGTAGTTACCGGAACGTCGAGCTGTCCGTTCAAGAGATTAGTCGGATGTCACTGGCAGGTAGGTTATTTCGCATCTCCGAGGAGGAAGTTTCACGACTTGAGCTTACGTAAGCTGCTAAGTGCGGGGATTAATTCATTACATCGACGGATGTGCGGATTATTGTAGTCGTCGAGTTTTTATTATCGCTCGTAGAGTTTATTAGTTTCGTGTCGATTTTTTGACGATTTCATCCTATCTACGACCTTAATTTACGCGCAATTTAGAAATTCGCCGGATGTTTAACAGTGAAAAAGTGTTGTTAGTTTATGGAATTTAATTTTGGATAGTTACTTAAAATATTAAGTATGTTAGGGCAAGCAGTTGTACGGATGCAGGCCACTAGGAGAAATTATAAAACTATAAAGAGAAAGCGGGCATACTATTTATATCTATTCCGATCTGTGCGCTCTCTTAATATTCGATCTTATGCGTTAGTTGGTGTATTATTACTTTAATAATTTAGAAAATTGACGATGCACGAATATACGTACTAACAATGTTAAATTAGTTGAAAATTTATTTGTTTATAAAATTGAAATTCCGAATTTAAGAAAGCAATTTAAGGGCAAGTAAAAGTTATTAAGACATTTTAGCGATGCACCACAAAATGTACAGTTTATGATGATTGTTATTTGGCATTACAAGAATTTCTCGACTTTCATATGTACTCATATGTTCATAGAGCAAGTATTTTATGTAATAAGTATTTAACTTCCCTATCAACACTATCTACATTAATTCTTAATATTTAACCGTTGGTCGCACAACTCTCCTTATTACACGACCAATTGGTTCTTTGTCGTTATTGATAACATATCAGTACACACAAGTTTGTTCTACTTTCAGTATTTTAGTGAAATATAAATCATTTAAACGATCAAACTCGCTATTATTATAAGTTCAACAATTTAAATTTAAATTAAACAATTTAAATCATTAGATTTAAAATTAATAAGATATAATAAGAGAGGAAGTAGTTGATTCATTTATTAAAAGATCAAAAAGTTCATACTCTTAAAACATAATATTAATGTCATGTTCAATTATTATTAATTAGTTAAAAGCTGAAGTTACTATTACAGCTTTTAGTACATGGAATAATTATAGAGAATTATCGATGTTACAATTATATTAAGTATTTTTTATTTTACTTTATATATATATTGTTATATAATGTCTATTATCTAATTGTCTTCCTATAATATGTGATTTATCATCTCGCTCGTTTATAATGTACATAAGATATGAGAAAAGGTAAATGCTAACCATGATAAATCCTATCAATAGAAATAATATAGAAGTATTTTAAACTATGAACCGAGCAATGTGGAGCAATGGTCGTATATATAACTTAATGATTTCTTTAGATTTCTCCAACTGAACATCGACTTACAATTTCTAATGTGCTATAAAATTTATTAAGATTAATTTGTTAATGTAACTTGAAGGGACTATAACACTAAGTGCGATTAAAGGGATTAAAAAAACGAGACGAAATGATTATTTCGCTTATCTCCCCTGTGTCACTTCTATAATCTTGATAAAATTCTTAAATGTGATGGATAAACATTATCATAGGAAAAAAAATATCTAACGAATAAACATATCTTGCTTATATATAAATCAAAGAACATTCGTATATTATTTCTTATGAAAAAGAAATACGTATAAGTCACTTGTGTAAAATCAATTAATAATCAATTAATAATCAATTAATAATCAACTATATATATATATATATAAGAATTCAAAATACAAGGGCACGATTATTTTATAAACATGGATATCTTATTGAAACTGACTTTTAGCTCGGCAAGCGTTTAATATCTTTTAAACAAATCGGAATTATCGATGAATCTATCATCCATCTTCAAAGCCTCATTTGTCTTTGAATATATGTACAAATATTCATGAATTTAAAATAAATTCTTTCTCTTCAAGTACTATTTAGAAGAAAAAAAAATCCGAATAAATTAGACGTATTGTGACTTGGAAAAACTATTGGTGTCATTATCGTATTATTATAGAATCCAACTTAAGATTTGTAATATCATATCAACGCTTTTCTCGCATAATACTAAAAAGAACCATTGATCATTCAATCATGTCAAATCGGCCCGACAATGATTTCAGAATGGCATTGACATGCTGGGAGAAGATTGCGGTAGTGGTGATAGCAGCAGTCGGTTTGCGTATCGCAGTCCGACTGAGCATCGTCGTCTGGAAGAAGCTCATAGCGCCGAACCTTGGACTTGGCATCGATATCGCCTCCCAGGGTAAATGGGCGGTCGTGACCGGCGCTACCGACGGCCTCGGCAAAGCCTTCGCTCACGCCCTGGCCAACAAGGGACTTGACATCGTCCTTGTCTCTAGGACACTAGAGAAGCTCGAGAACGTCGCCGGGGAGATCAAGCAAATGTACGGCGTGGAGACGCGGATTGTCGAGGCTGACTTGACCGAGGGTCAAGCCATTTACAACAAGATCGGAAAGGCGATCGAGGAGCTGGAGGTGAGAGACACGGTTAATTGCTATCACGTTAGCGTTAAATGCTATTATGGAGAGTCACGAGTCACGATTCGAGCTTAAAGCACCAACGGCATTTTACTCTATTCGCTCTAGCACTCTAAAGCTTATATCGTCTATTTATTAAAGTCTGTGTGAGACGAACGAAACCGGAAATCTATTGCCCTCGTTCGTACGTATACACGAGATAATGCAAATGACAAACATGAAATTTCATCGTACCTTTTGTCATAATTATAAATATCACGTTTTATCATGCAGATTATAAAAGCAAGTTAGCGAAGGAAATTATTATTATAATCGCAAATAATATTTACTTTTTATTGTGCTACTTAAAGTAATGATTGACTCGCGATTTATTTCGAGCGCATTATCACCGAATTATAAGCGAATTACAAATTTGTCTCGTAAAGAACAATTTGTAGAATTCAATTCAAGTACAAATGTCTGAGAGTAGAGTTTGGGGGAGCGAATAATCGCGATGCCGGTGGATTAATCGTCGTTTAATCGTTTTCGGAGCTATTCAACTACGTTTTAACGAGTCGCCAGCGACGCGAAAACTTTCACGCGCAATCTAACCGGCTGTTTCCCTCGAAAGCGGTCGTGCAACTTTCACTGCGTCTGAAATTGGACAAGGAGAGGGGGAAAAATAAAAACAATTGACCGCAGGTCGGGGTCCTAGTGAACAATGCCGGAACGAGCTACGACCACCCGGAATTGTTCACGTGCGTGAGCGAGGAGACGATAACGAGGATAATCCAGTTGAACGTGGCCGGGGTGACGGGGGTGGCGCGCCAAGTACTTCCGGGGATGATGGAGCGGCGCAAAGGTGTGATCGTTAATATCGGCTCGGCCTTCGGAGCTTTACCCGGACCCTACCTGGCCGTCTACGCTGCGAGTAAGATGTACGTGGACAAGCTGAGCCAGGATTTGGCGGTCGAGGCCGCACCGAGAGGAGTCACAGTGCAGTGTGTCCAGCCTGGGCCCGTCGCTACCAAAATGTCCAAGATCAAGTACGTTTGCATTTGTTCTATCGTACGCCTAAGTTAAGTATATTTTTGAGACACTAGCCGACATATACAAATAGGGGGCGAAAGGTCACTCCGTACTTGGTATGTACGGACACGGCGTCGTACATTTGAGAACGACGCTATTTTCAAGCTCAAAGCCTTCCAAAGTCCGAAATAGTGTAAAATAATCGAGCTCGGACTTCCTTGAATCGGGTGTTACTTATTCATTCTAAAAATAAAACAGTCGATCGAAATGTATACTAACAAATTCAAATTATTCTCTTTCATTAGTAATAATGTCTATAAATTAGAATTTCAAATTTTAACCTTATATTTATAAAATTTAATTATGCATGCTCGTTGAGCTTTATCGATCGAAACTATGCATCAAACAAATCATTAAATTCATTTTAATAATGATCGATAATTTACCTAATACTAAAAGAATTTCGTAGTCACATATGATTTCCATACAATTACTTTGAATTTGTTATATTATTTAAGAGCTCTCTTCATTTATGAATCATAAACATGTAAAATGTGAGTTAATAAGACGATCTTAAAATAGTCAGCAATAAACTTGAGTTACAATGATTAGAATAATAATCGCGTTAAAAAAACAAATTGCATCTTTTTTCTTTCATATCTGTATTCTGCACAGTAAATAATACTTTATATTTATTTAAATGAAAGCAAGTACTGTTCCTCTTCTTTTTTTTTTTTTAATAATGTTTTTTTTTGTTTTTTAATTAGTTATTTATGATATTTTTAAAGCAATGCGAAGTAAAAAAGATGTGCTTACAAAAACCTAATTAATAATTTATAATATGCTTGTGCGCTGAGTTAAACGCTTATGCGTATTATTTAAAATAAATTTTGAAAATGGCGCTCTTCATATACCACGCTGCATTCGCAATTCCAAGCAATTCGCTCCGCCCCCCCCCTAAAAATTCGCTCTCTCTCTCTCTCTCTCTCTCTTTCTCTCGCTCTTCCTCGCCTCGCCCTCCCGCCCGCGACCACTGACGCGCCCCGACACAAAAAACCGAACGCGCTCGACAATGTAGGCAATAATAACACGGGGCACGTGGTCGTAGAGGTGAAATTCGGATAAACGCCGACTTGAAAAATCAAGTGAACGGGGTCGCTTGCGTAATTCGCCCAAAAGAATGAAAGAATGAAAGAAAGAAAGAAAGAAAGATAGAAAGAAAGCAAGAAAAAGCGCAAGCTCGGCGGCTGACGTGCGATTGTGTTTGTTCTGTTTACAGGCGAGCGACATGGATGGCACCGACGCCCGAGCGCTTCGTCGAGGCGTCGCTGAAGACGATCGGCATCGAGCAGAACACCACGGGATACCCGCCCCATTGTCTCATTCTCGGTTTCGTCAACGGACTGCGAGCCATTTGCGAAAAGGGCGCCGTCTGGCTGGTCGCCAGGACAATGCTTAACATACGTAATCGCGCCCTTAGCAAGAAGACGAAGAAGGACGTGTCCGAGGAGACGGACATCCGAGCTTCCGAACATTGACTGTTTCTGGCTGACTTTGATAATATACGCGGGACGATATGACCGTGGAACTTTCGACCAACACTAAAAATATTCGTCCTTTCCTCAGAAATATCTTGGCTCCTTTTCTTACTTTTTATATTTTTCTTTCTTTTTCTTTTGTTTGTTTTTGTTTTTTGTTTTTTGTTTTTTGTTTTTTTTTTGTTTTCATTATCGATACTCTCTAATATTTATTACTATCGTAAAACGCTTGATATATATTCAATATATATATATATATTCAATATATATATATATATATATATATATTCAATAGAAATACATTATGTTAAAAATATTGTAACTCGTTTGCTCGAGTAAGCCACGCGATTGTGACGGCTTATCCTTTAATATCTCCTTTTGGTACTTTTTATTAATTTCTGTATTCCGCCTTGAAACTGAATTTTTATTGATTCGTTAAGTCGTTGGCTCTCGCAAAGAGCCCATTATTTCCATTATACTGTTAATCTATTGCATTTCATGTATCCTTAGATAATTTTTGTTTATGTTTATGGTTGTTTTTTGTCTTTTTGTTTCATTTTCTCTTTCTGTTCCTTCAAATCCATTTTCATGAAAATTTCGAAACTGACATAGTGTAAAGAGAACGAACGTGAGATCGTTTGCGAAGAAATAGCGAGAATGAAATTTATAATTCACAATATTGCGAGCAAGCAAAATCACGGATAGAAGAAAAAAAAATTAAAATTGATGCAATGATAAAGAAAAATACTTTCTAGATAACTTTTGGCTATGCCTGCCTGGTGTGTGTGTTTTTTAACATTACTTTGATCGAGGCAACAAATCGCTCCATTAATGAATAAATTTTGCTAATCGAGCAAATCTAGTCTGAAAAATTAATGCAGCTTAAATGAATTAATATAGAAAAATGACGACATTTTTATTAAAATAGAACTCCGTCGTAGCAAGTGCATCAGTATAGTTTGAAATAATACTTTTACGTTAAATTTCATCGTTAAAATCGAGCTGTCCAATTGTGAAAGGGCGTTGATTAAAGAACTTAAACTTTAATCGCTATCCATGTACGCGCTCTCCTCTTATTTGTAATAATGTACGTTTTAAGAGTTTTAAGAAAGCTTTTGCTTCATTTTTTTATGTAATGTACGCAAGAATGGGCATAAAAGACCTCTGGGACAAACAAAAATTGGGGCAAAGTGGAAATTAACTATTGATATTTAATGGATAAAGTATTAAATAAAATTGATTATTAATGTATGACTGGATCAACATAGACACACACACACACAGAGAGAGAGAGAGAGAGAGAGAGAGAGAGAGAGAGAGAGAGAGTGGGGGAGGGTATAGGGGTATAGGCGTTGATATTAAGATAAAGGCGGACGTATACCATTGACCCGTGGGAGTCGTAAGGTCAATCGTGCACAATCACGAATGACACGAGGTATGTTTAATTATTCAATGCGTCGGCCTCTGTCCGGGCGTGATCAACCGTTTTAAAAATCCAGTGCCTTAGAGCGATGTAAAACTGCTGTGTCGACGCAATCCGCAAATGTTTTTGAATATGCCAGCGCACATCGCGCTTGTAATTTGAGCAAGAAACACACACGATACGTGCACCGACGATAATTCGATGGATAATACGTGGCTCACGGATTTTAACGAAATCTTCTATTTTATTAATGCCACACAATTACATTTACGCATTAACTGGCATCCAAACAAAAAGTTTATTGTAAAAAGAGGCATGTTCATTCGATTGATGACACATTTATTTAATAAAGATAATATTTTGTGAAAATTGTTTAATTATGTGGATAAGTTCATTTACAGGTTTTTTTTTAAATTTTGGATCATTATTTACGAATATTTATAGAAATAAACTTTTTTTTTTGTTCTTGTTTATACATCAATATTTATTAATAGTCATTAAATGGCCATTTCAACATGCGCTTAAGGACAGTCAATGAAGTGTCTTGTAGTTTATGAATATGTCATTATTCTTAAATTTACTGGGACGAGCGTCGCATGGATATTAGTAAATTCACATATTTGTTGTTTGTAATGCCTTACAACGACGTCATACATTGATTTTGTAATTTGTCATTTCGTGGATAAGTAAGAATGAGGAAAATTTTATTTGCCTAATGATTGTGCTATTAGTAATGATCGTTGACTTAAGAAAGAACTTTGGTAATTTTAACTTTAGCTATAATTTAATTTTTTATTTACTTTTTTGTTTTACTTTCCATACTACCGAAAAGCTTTGTTGTTGTTGTTGTTGTATTTTATTTGTTTTTTTTTTTTTTTTTTAAATCACATTGCAGCGCATGATTATAAAATGATAAAAGATACTTGTGATACGATTGTCATGAAATTTATCATACGTCTTATGCTTACGTCTTATGATTGCTAGACATGTTTATTAAAAATTTTGACACTCATAGACTTACAATTGTTCGGAGCGGCATGTTCTCAACGATAAGTCCCTTCGACGTAGCTGAGACGAAGAATCTTGGGCTCGAGGGCGCCGTTGCCTTGCCGCAAATGGCTGTGCTTTTCGTTTGTCCGCTTCCAACTAGAAAATTAAGGGTCTATGCAAAAAGGACTTACTCCTTTTTGCCCCGAGTTCTCATTTAATATGTGCAACATTGAGTGTGCTTTATCAGCCAGCTAGTAAGTTCAGTGTGAGGAAAGGTAATGAGAATCATTGGAATACGCACCTTTAAGCAAGCCGTGCACGGCTTGACGAACACTATGAACTATTTGTTTGCTGACGCCCGGGGACTTCATATCTATTTTCTGGAATTTTGAACCTGGAACAGACGCTGGCGATTGTTCGCTCTTGGTGTTATAATGTGCTATTGATAATAGTGGGACGCCAGATTCTTTTTCCCAGCCCCGGGCGCCAGCTTTACTTTTTATTAACTCAATCAGGCATTTGTACGTCGTGTGCTTTTTTTTTATCTTTTTTCGAAAAAATCTTTTTTTTTTTTTTTTTTTTTTTTTTTTATGCTAATGCACGCACAATTCGTTACAAAATTGCAGTTATTCTCTACAAACGTGTACACAATTATGGAAAGTATATTAAAAGCTTGTTCTAATGATTAATATCAACAATACTACGCAAAACATCATTCTTAAAGTTACAATTCAGTGTTACGCTTTTTAATTTTAACAAATCATTTTATTTGTTTAATTGATTAACGAATACTTGTGTTTCAAAGATGTGAAAGCTCAATGTATTTGATGAATTTTTTTCTGTCGCCGTTGGAAAACGAATTGTTTTCGTATAAACATTTATGACGCTGTTTTTGTACATGCCTTTTGCTATTTTACATTGCTTTAATATAAAATTAATTTTCGCTTGTGTGCTCGAATAAATTTTAATCGGATTATTGCTTCAGTATAGCGCGAATAAATTCTTACTCGAGAAGTGAAAAAATGTTTATAATAATTTTACATCCATTTCAACTTCAAACGTCAATGATTTATTATTAACTGACTTTATCATCAAGAAATCATCACGAACTATTTCCATTATATTGGCTTTCGAATAAATTTTTATCAATAATTCGAATTTAAGTATTTTGTGAACTGACTTGGATTTTTTGGCGAATAGTTACAAAATGCATATTTAATGCTTTTATAATTGTATTTGAGTGCGCACACTGAATTACTACTTTAATAAAGTTTTTTGGCAATTTAATTGAAACTCTTACATATGATTTCTTGGTTGAAGTCGATTTAAAATTACCTAAGCTACGCTGAATGAGATTGACATCGACATTGGACTTTCTCGATGTGCTAGGAAGAAAACAACGACAACACTCCTTTTTCAAATCGATTGCATAACTCCCATAAACTAAGGGGTTGGCACAGGAATTTCCTACCGCCATTATGAAAAGTGATTCTTGCACCATTTCATTAACTCTTTGGGCGCTCTTCTTATCGATCACATACCTAGCCAACAAATAATATTAACATTAAATAGTACTTAATTTACTCAACATGGCTAAATGGCCTGACATTAGCCTTCTATTCGTATAAATTCCCTACTTAATGCTTATTTATGTAAATTATCCACTAACGAAGTAGTCATTGTTAAGGCAATAGAGCTATTCGCTATTTGAAAGGAAAAGCATATAATTGAATTTAATAGGCACATTGTTTTATCCGCGAGTCCAATTTTTCCCCTCACTTCCTGAATTATTACTTGATTTCGAATGAAACAATTGAATTCCCTCCTGCCCGTATAATATTACTTATTACGGCAGCATACTCATTGTCACCTATCATTCTATTAATTTGAAAATTATTTTTAAGATTTTACGAATATCTTATGTCACGTTACCAAAGATTCATCGTGATGTAGGGCGTCCAGCAAAAAATGAAAGCTACAACTATTTTGATAGTCATCTTGAGTGTTCTACTTCGTGCTCTTTCGATACTTGACATATCCGATCGTCGTAATCGCATTCGACTTCCCTGAGTACTGTTTGAACTCTCGAGTGTCCCATTACTGCACGATTTCGTTACAACTGAAACATATAATTAATGATAATATTACAGATTAAATTTGTTCAAGCATTTTTGAATCTAATTATAGGATTTTTACATATTTATCCTTAATAGCAATAAATACAATTTTTGTTTGCATTTTGAACGCTTCGATTAGATGAACTCGATCGTTTGAATTTCATATATTATATAGAATTTAAATTTTACAAACGTATTTATCAATAATATTGGAATAATCGCTGAATAGTTAATGATATTTAATCAACAAAACCAATAATGGAATATGCAATATAATGGAGTACGAGATTCCATTTCTTGGGTCGTTTGAATTTAATAGAAAAAATTCATGCGTTTAAAAAAATTTGTATACATTTCATTCATATGGATTGGGTTATTTGATTTCTTTTTTTCAAGCTCTTAAGAAGTAAACAATTTAAGCGCATATTTGTTCTCTTCGATACATTATGAAGAGTGAAAAAGGATTTTTAAAAAATGATAATTGTCAAATTCTTCATCAAAATCCAAAGATTTTTCTAAACTAATATACATTTTCACTGTTGTATTTATAAAAATTTTTATCGTGCGATTTTTTTTTACTTCAGTATAAAAAGTTTTTAAAAAATTACTAAAGCTTTCATGAAAAATTCTACACATTCTTAAATTTTTTTTTAAACTCATTTGGAATTCTATTTGAATGTTCCAATGTAAAAAATAAAGGAAAAGTAAAGTTTCAAAGAAAATGTATTTAAAATTTTTACTTCTTATTCAGAGTTTGAGTACCACTTCAATATTCTTGTTAAATTGAGAATTCCAAGAAGTTTAATATTACATTACTGCAATAATATAACGAAAGAGTTTTACTTTAAAAAAAAATTAATGACTTGATACTATCACTTATGCCATAATAATCATTAACGTATATGTTTGGAAACGGAATTTTCTGTTTTGAATAAAGATAACAATAAAAAGTCTATTAAAAAATTGGAATATCAATTAATGTGAAAATATCTTTTAATATGTTATTAACAATATTTTACCCTTAAATATTATTTGAGCATTCGAAATCTAATTTCTTAAATTTCTCAAATTCTTAAATAATAAAAATAATATAACAAACAATAAGTACAATTTATGTATCAAGTTTCATATTTTTCAAATTATTCAGTAGAATAGTGAGCTTTATTTACAAAATAAAAAAAGTATTATTACAAACATTAAATATTTCAAATAAAAATCTTATAAATTCAACAAGATTGTAAATTGAAATATAATTAAATGTGTAATTAATTTCGAAACAGCCCAACTTATCATTAGAGTTTTAAAGGATTTCCAAATACTTTGTAATATTTCTCAGTTATTCCATTCAAAAAGTTATTTAATTTTGATGTCAATTATATTTGTGTAAAAATTGAACTATAAATGTAAAAATTTTCAAATTCACTACTCTGCAAACCCTTAATATTAAGACCAAGTTGCATGCATTTATAAATATCAAAAACAAATCATAGTATATTCGAAATTACATTACAATATTTAAATTGAATACATAAAAAAATTTATTTAAAGTATATCGATTTTTACAAAAATTTAATCGGGAAACCCGTTTACAGAAAATAACGTTAGTTTTTTTTTTTTTTTTTTTTTTTTTTTTTTTACAATATAATTAAATTTGAATTTGAAGATATTTTTCAGAATAGATAGGATTTTAATTTAATTAATATTATTATGTCTTAACGATGAATTATATTAAAACTATTTCCAACTATAATATTTCTTTTTCCAAATTATTTCATTATTCTTTATAAATAAGAAATTAATTATATTTTCCTCTTGGCATACTAATACTGCCATTTCCATAAAATGTAGATTACACATTTGTCAATTCAATAGTGTTATATTATCAAAATTTAAAATCAAGGTTTAGAATTAAGTTATTTATATAATTAAATTTAAATGAAAAATTTAAATGTTAAATTCAAATGACCATAAATTATGCTAGATCAGTTTATATTGACAAGTGTTTATATTAACAATACAAAAAGATTCAATTAATTTCTTATTAAAAATGTTTGGTATTTTAATATATTTAAATTTTCTTTTAAATTATAATTTTAATTTTCATTAATAGTATCAATTTTCTTTTATTGTAAAGTATATATTATTACAAAATCCTCTTTTTGTTTTATTGAAAATAAAATAAATCATAAAAAATGTACATGTTTTAGTCTCAATTCTGTATATTCAAAGTCTTTCTTATATTTTTCTTTCTTATTTTTGCTCGGTAAATAATATTTTCTCGAAAAAATTTAAGTATTGTACACTTAATATTTTTGTAAAGAAGTTATTAATATTAAACGTGTCGCTTATATAATAATAAAATATTTTGATAATACTTTAATCCTCGTTGCATCGAGATTAATAAACAACTATATACCGAAATACTATTAACTACACTTTTTTTTTTCATAAAAAAACATAATATATGTATATGTATATATACGGATAAATTATTTTCCAAAACATTTTCAATTATAATTTCCATTATAGTAAAGCGATGGGAGAAGTTTATTAAAATTACATGACATTACCTGGTTTATTATCCCTTGATTTGCTACTAATCTCGCACAATATTTGTAAGTACACCCAGCAAATAATGATAAGAGGTACAAAGTACATTGTCACTATACAAAATACGGTGTATGTATTTTCAACCAAATCCGAGGGAAATGAGCCGAAAGTGACACATTGTGTAAAATTCGTATGATCTGGATGTTTTGATACGTGGAAAACGATGCTCTGAAAGAAGTAAACGTAACGTATTTTTTTCATTAATCCTTTGCAAATGAAACAAGAGCTTAGCAAGAGCTCGATAATATATATATATATATATATATATGTGTGTGTGTGTGTGTGTGTGTGCGTGTTTTTTTAAATTCTATTGCTCATTTAAAAATTCACATATCCATTATATTTATATTGATATTCATAATAAATTAATAATAAATGCGTATGATTGTCATACTAATTTTATAAATTAAGCATATATCAATAATGTTCGTATTGTGATAATTACATTATCCTTAGACAGGGTGTAATTAATAATTATGAAATAAAAGAAGAATTCTTTTGTTGCACGCCGATAATAAATTCGAAGATGTAAAAGTTGATTAAAGCTCTTTAAATGCCATACATTGTAGATGCAAAAGTAACAGGAGAATCTTTCGATTAATACAACGCTCTACGGTTAAATAGACTTTAACAACGAAAGTGTATTTTTACGAATAAGGAAACGATTATTAGTTAAAAATAAACTCGAGATAAGAGTAAGTAATAAAATTTATAATCAATACGTATAAATGTACAGTTCACTTTGATTTCGTATAAAAAGGAATAGTACCATTGATTAAGAATAACATAAAATTGATGCAACTAAGCAATAATTTTATATCATAAAGCACATGATCAATGTACAGTTATCACATGAAAAATTACTAATACACTCGTATTAAGTTGCTATGTGAATAATAATGCGCCGAGAGTTCGTGCCCGTTATGAATAATTAACAGCGTTGCCTTTGCTGCTTGAGTGGCTAGTTTATGCTCACACGCGTATTGTGAATCGCGACTGTTGGCGAATATTCAATGTTAGACGTCGTTTTGTCTTGGGTACACGGGGCGTAATTGAAGTGCCTGAAAATTATAATTTGATTAGCGCGAATCCTCTCTGCCCTGGAAGCCCTGGCTGACCCGTCTATCCGCGGAATTTAATTAGTTTAAGTTGAATGACAACTTATCTTGCACGTATATGCAATTATATCCTGTAGCGCTCCTCGCTCCATTTGAGTCCGCTCACTTATCATTCGTGTCGCTCATTCCTGAAAATTTCTTTTACTGCGAGATGCGCGGCGTCGTCAAATTTCCCTATCACTCGATCCAAACAATTTATTGCGATGAATATTAATTGTGGAGTCGTGAGATCGACAGATTTTCAGCGCAGGTCGAGTGATTTTTAATTGAACTTACGGCGCTCCTACTTTTTACGATTGTCGGGATTGTCGTGGAGTCTCATAGCACTTGCGAATTGTGCAAGATATCCTTTCAATCTTTGAATTATTTTATATACAAAATACATGTCAATATTAGTTTTTAAAACTGATAATTAGTATGTAGGAAGTGTTATTTTATACAATTAAATTTGAAATAAATAGATCTTTTTATTATCTATCACTAATATACATTTAAATTTAAAGGATTTATTTTTAGTTTACCGCTGCATGTGTGTGAATAATCTTTAGGTGATACAAAATATTATGAAGGAATTGATCTTTAAAGGCTATTAATTAAAAATTTTCATTCATTCCACACTAATGATCATAATGCAATTATTAAATCATTGAATTACAAATATAAAAATAAACTTCATTATTCGAATTATTGGAAAATACCAAATGACTTTCCATATTAATGTAAATTGGCAGAAATTAAAGCCTCACTTGGAATATGTTTATTTCATTAATCACTAACAAACAAATTAATTTTTATAAAAATCATTAAAAACAATTTATCACTTAATTATACTTCTCATTTAAATGAATAATTTATTTACGAACAATGGTGTAAGCGTTTAAAAATATTGTAAGTATTTTCTCAGGGAAAATGAAGAGAAGAAAGCTTTGATACAACTGTTCAATATATTGCAAAAAAAAATTTCGAAGAAATCCGTTTTATTATTTAAACTAATTTGTCATTTATATATATATACATGTGCATATGAGCGTATGTATATAAATATGAATTTATATGAATATATATATATATGCACATACTTGCAAACAAACACAATTCAAGATACACGTAAACACATATTGAAATTTAATAAATAAAAAAAAATTAATATTTTAGTTTAATATATATCTAAATTATACTTTGTGTGAAAATATCCTGTCGTTATTATAAACACGATAAAACTTAATTTCTTTGCAATGAAAACATAAGAAATTGCGTATTTCTATCGGAATATCAATATTATTCAATAGATATATGATCAATATTTACTGAAATGTAATGAAAATCTTTCCTTCTTTTTATTAGTATGAAAGGCAATAGTTTTTTTTATTTAGAAGAAACAAAAACAGAAATTCAGATATCGACAGGTTCATTTGCTCGTAGTAGTCCATATGCTTTTATCGATTGAAGTTCGAATGATGAAAAGGTACAGAAAATTTGCAAAGTAATCACAAAAATGATTAATATTTTTCAGAAAAATTATTATTTTAAAAGAAAGCTTTTAAATAAGAAATTTCTTGACTAAACATTACTAAAATGTAAGAAATTGTTACATAGATACAAATTATGACGTTTGGTGTGAATTAAATAAGATTATTTATGATTATTAAGAGCATTAAGTGCTTTTATTTATAAAGTAAAACTAGAAGTAAAGTTACCTGCGGTATGGCGTAGATGATGCTGAAAATCCAAGCGATGCTGAGCATGAATTTTCCTCGGCGGCGTGCATCATTCACGCGTAAGGGATAAAGGACGGCGAAGTATCTGAAACATTTCACGTACACCTGTATAACATTTCCCTTATATCTTATATGCGCATGCAAAGTTTGCGTGATCTCGCACGATGCTTCACAAATGCAAAATAATAACAAGAGCCTCGTTAGCTTCACTTTCATATTAGCCTTGAGAAAATCAATCGGACTGTCTAACTCGCACTCTCTCCTATTCCAATAATATAAACTAATATTGTAATTTGCTAGACTATGGAGTGCCAAATGGCTGATTACCTATATATTTATTACTGCATCGTAATATCCTCTTGATACTACGATTTTTTTCTTCTATGTGTACGTAAAGTCTGTCGTTGCTCTACTCATGGCATTTACGTTTGCTCAATCTGCCGTATTGGGCGAGTGATTCATGCTTTACTAACTGTTGCTTTATTGTGCAAATGTTGATAAAATGTATGAATGCGTATGTACGACGTATGCCACGTGTACTTATATACTAATTCACCGATATTGATATTCCATGTGCAATAATAATTAAGCAGTTTGTATTTGAGATTTATTATTATGCTTGCAAAAGCGATGCGCCGGATTTTTTTTTTTTGGAAATTAAAGAGTTTTAGTAATAACATCAGCCACAGCATATTCCCGTCAAAGCTTATATTCGTTTATTAATTATAAAATATGGAGACTGTATAAATTATAATTTATATAATGGCCATATAATGATTTACGTAACATATTCAAAAGCCTTGATTTTTTAAAAGATAATATATTAAAAAATTCAGTGTTATACTACTGGTCATATCGGGTACATATTTTAACCATAATATTCAATTTATTGGCAGTTTATATTTAAATTTGTAGTCAATTTAAATAACTATTTTTGCATAAACAACATTTATTCATTTTTAATAGATATTTTATCCTTTGATATAATAGATTACAACGTTCGTATAAGTAATGGAAATATTTTTACAAGGTCTACGAGTTTTTTCCTCTTGTATGAAAATTATGTTTTACACTAAATTATCTTAAAGATCATATTGCATTATATATATATATGTGTGTGTGTGTGTGTGTGTGTGTGTGTGTGTGTGCGTGCGTGCGTGCGTGCGTGCGTGCGTGCGTGCGTGCGTGCGTGCGTGCGTGCGTGCGTGCGTGCGTGCGTGCGTGCGTGCGTGCGTGCGTGCGTGCGTGCGTGCGTGTGTGTATAATGAAAATAATTATCGGTACGATAATGTATATAAAATTTTATAATAGCATCACTAAAATTATTTTCATCTAACTTAGTAATTACGTTAATCTAAATCGTATAGTAATTTAGCAAAGTATAAAGGTTAGTCTTAAAATTTTGTTAAATTAAGTATAAAAAACATATATCCTCTATTGATTATATATAATACAATGATAAATAATTGCAATTTTCAAATTAGATTTAAATGTTTTGTAAAATAAGAATTATATATAAATATGTGAATATTATTAATGCATAAAATTTTTATAAACTTCTAGACGTTATTATTGCCTACGACGATAAAATAATACGTGAATAAATTTTCAGCGTATAAATGTGATTCTTCGATTAATCGACGTTAAATTTATTCAAGAATAACCGATAGAGTTTGTGAAAAATACAAAAGTACATAGAGTATATTACTAAAGCACAATAATACATTTAATCTTTGCACTTAAAAATGTTAATAATAAGATAAACAGCTGTACACGATTTTGCAAAATTTTAACTCCTTTTCAATTTATTTATATTTAATTATAATTACTCAATTATAATTAATAATTCGTTTAGTTTTAAAATGAGTGGGTATATCTACTTGTCATTTTAAGGAGCAATATTTTGTATTACTTGAGATATTCGGACATGCATTGTTGATATTTTCTAAACTTTTATCACTGCTATTGAGTGGAGAAGTTTATAAAATACTTGACAAATTAATTAATAATCTAAATTAATTAACAAAGCGAATCATATACTGAAGTATTGCAAAATATGTTACTTTCAAACTTTTGTGTACAGTAATTGTGCCCAATTTGAAAGCCAAGTGACAATGAATCTGAATAAAAATAGAAAATTGTCTAGCGCTAAAGATATTTTTAAATAGATTACTTTTAATTTAATTTTTTAATCCAATGGCTACGTCACATACGTCTTGTTTAATACAACGTATAAAAATTCAGCAGCTACTCTGATTTCGGCAGTAGTAGGTCTCATGGTGATATACACGAGTGTCGTACGGTACATTTAAAATCTTGCATACAAACCTAATCGAAAACCTAATGTTCGCTATACCTGGTATATATTATATATATCATTAAAGTTAATTTCAACATGGTATACTATTTTTTTGATAATCTTAAGATCTTAAGTAATTGTGAGACGTTTAATTTTGACAAGAGGATCGCCTTTGTCATGGAAATGAAGGAAGTGGTCACTAATCCTTGCCACAGATTTTTGAATACCACTGCTTCCATATCACCTTAAGACCACTTTGTCATCACCTTCATGACCGCAGTCTTGCGTTTTGAGGACGCTCTACTAACATAGGTAAGAGTACAGTTTCAATTACTTTTGCATGATATTTTATAAATACGTCCACAACGGAGATTAAGAAAGAAATTACATTAAACCGTCGGCTTAATAATGGAAAGAAAATTATTCGCGTCTTCTACGACGAGTGTCACTCACAAGTAAATCTCAGTGTTATGTGATTATTTAAAATATATTTATCAAATTAATTTATCAACGTACTTTCTTAATTAACAAATTAAATATAAAACTTATTATTTTGAAGATTGTATTTAATATATTTAGTATACGAAAAACTTATTTAAATTATCTTTGCGTATCTAGGTTCTTATTTATATTTAATCTGTGACTTTATATAATAAATAATTAGTAAACTTTTATTATTATTGCGCTTGTTAGATTATTATTTTAGGACTCTTACGATACAGTTTTTGGACAACACACGTTCATACGAGATATCACGCAAAACAGGAAAATTTCGATAGAACGCTTTATAATTTTATTAGTTTGGATAGTCGTATTAGATTTCTTCACGGCCAGAATGTAGATTAAATCACTATCTAGACTTTCTCATCAATAACACGGCAAATAACAGCATCGGATATAAATAATACAGACTCCTAAAATTAAACGACGTCACGGCGAGAATGCAAACTTTTAACAAATTTAATGCATCACATTAATGGACATAAAATACATTCAATCGTCGAATTATGGAGTGCTCTACTTGAGTCTCATTATTCATGACCTTGTATTTGCAGTCTCAAGTACAATATAATATTGCACGCAGACTTTTAAAACTAATTAGTACTGAATATGGATAGTATCATCGGTTCGCTAGTTCATAAAATTCAACAACTACACGCTATTTATTTTATCAGCATTTAAATGTTTAATAATAAAAAATTCAATACAATGAATATAATTAAAGAAATAATTATTATAATGATATTTATATTGTGCATTGTGAAAAAACAAACAAACAAACAAACAAACAAACAAACAACAACTGCAATATGCATTCATTTTAATCGTAAAACTCTGAAGATTTTTATACTTTTTGAACAAAACGGAAATTAAAAACATTTTCTAATTTGCAATATTTCTCCTACCGACATTTTAAATACTATAATATATTTTTTAAATTTTATTCTTCACTCGTTTTATTAAACAAGATAAGACTATATTTAAATTAAATTTTAACGATCATGAAATATTTATGATAATGTTCTTTGCTAGAGTGACAAAACGCGTCAAGTTGTAAAATAATTTTACTCGAATGCTATAATGTTTGCATAAATATTACTCATATCTCATTACCATTATATTATATTTCAATTGCGATAAATATTGTATTTCATTTCATTAACACATGTATGTTTTCTTTTTAAGTAGTGCCTCTCTTCTTTATGCCGCATGTACAAATTTTGATAAATACAAGCGAAAACAAATAAATAAATGCAAAAAATTCTTCGCAGTATTTTTTTAATGTCGTTATGTCGGTTTATTTTAACCTGCTTTATCCATTTAATTTTTACAACTTATAACCTTTTAAACAGTTATATAACTATAATTATTAATTCCATTAATAATTAATCTTTATGGGTATTCACATTGTCAAAGCCATTAAGTCGAAAAAGTAATTTTCACTTACTAAGAATTTTTTAAGAAAATAATTGTTTTGTAATAATATTAATTATCAAACGGAGGATTAGATAAAATATTTTTTATTATATTAAATGATAAATATTATGGAGATTATTGTTATTCGCTAATATTGCAGAGTAAATGCAATTTAATTTTATAATTTGCTGAATTATAATAGCATTTATTTAGATTAAATACATGCGATTTTCTGTGTAGTAAATAGGAATCTTAGTTTATGTAAAAATTATAATTAGCCTACATATCTTGAAATAATGAGTGTAAATCTTGTAACATACGCGGGCAGATTAGGATAGAAATATTTCCAATAAATATTCATCATATATATCAGTCATAACCGCAGTAATAATTTATATGCAAAAGTCACTAAAGTGCTTCCAAGTTTTTCAAAGAATGATTTCTGCATATAATAAAAATATGAAAATATAATGATAAAATTAAAATAATAATAATTGAAACGGCAAAATAAATGCCATACTTTAATCACTATTAAGTTTATATTCTACGGTTTGCATTATTTTTTTATATACCAACTATTCAAATTCAGTAAGATTTTATCTACTTATGCTACTTAATTACAATAAATAATTAATGCTACTTCAATATAATAAATAATTTACCAACTAATTTCAAATATTAATGTAATATTAAAAAAATCGAATATTCTCACATATCTTTACATAAGTTTAGTACTCAATGTAGATTAATTAATTATTGCTAAAATTATAACGTGTAATTTCGAATTATAAGTATTTTTCATACAAATTTTTCTTCAAGTTTTGTAATAATTTTCATTTTCATTTTGAATTTTTATCATTCTTCTTATA